CCACGCGGCGGCTTGTGGCCTGGCCTGCGAACGCAGCAGGGCCCGGGCAGGCAGGCAGCAACTCGGTCTCACGAACTGTGCGGGGCGCAAACCATTGTGAACGTCGTGCCAGGTAGGGCGGCCGTGACATCCGGCGGCATCTAGCACGTGGCCCGCCCCCTCAGCTGCTCGCAAGCAGCAGCCGGCCCCGCAGCGAGTTCTGCGAGGAACCTGGCCGGCGAGCGCGCAGAACAGGCAGCGCGTCGGCCTAGGCGGCCCAGTAGGCCGCAGGGGCGGTACGCTCGGCGCACTGCAAGCCCAGTCTTCCCAGACGAGCCGGCAACAACGCGAGACGACGCGCCGCAGCGAGCTCGGGGTCCGCATCATCTTCGCCCAGCAGCGCGAGCAGGCATCGCCAGACAGCGTCATCCTGGCCTCGCGCATAGCTGGCAAAGAGGTCAGGCGGAAGCGTGCGCAAGATGTGGTCGGCGCGGCCAGGCGCACTGGAGGTCGGATGGCGACGGGCAGCGGCACGACGTGCCACAAGCGGAAGGCTGCGAGCAAGGCGACGCGTTGGCGCCGGCAGCGAGGCCCACATAGGCCCACGATCTCCTGCGTCGCCTCGTTCGCGTGCGGTCTCTGCGAGCTCCCCCCGTGTTGCGCGCAGCTGCTACAGCAGGCTGGCGGCACCGCTGGTGAGGGTTCCTGACGCTGCTGCGCTAGCGTCCACGCTGCTGGGCGGCATCTGGCGCGCACCGGCAGCCGGGCGGCGATGGGCCGACGCTCAGCGAAGTTGTCGAGCTTGCCGAACCGGCGCTGCCTTTTTTGCGCGCCGTGTAGGAGTGGGAAGGGCGGACTGGACACTTCCTGGCTGACGGAAAAAGGCACGCGAAAAAAAAACAAAAATGCACCGGCAACTTCAGGCTCCAAGGCATGCGCGTAGCAGAATGGCAGGCATCAGTTTCAAAGCACCCACCCTCCACAGCATATAGGACCGCCGTCCTTCATGCTCGCGCAACGAGCCAAAACCGCACACAAGCCGCAAGCTTGGCCATAGTGTACGAAAGATCAAAACGATGTGAATGTTTCACCCAGAGGGGTTCGTGTGTTTCTGCACCGGGGGGTTCGTATGTTTCTGCAACGCACTGCGTTGCAACTTCCGAGCAACATCCGAGGAAAGAGGCGTGCCTGCGTAGTCCGAGTTTCTCTGTCAGAGAGCATACAGGAATGGAGCCTGAACGCAGCCGCTCGTCAGCCTGAGACGCGACGAAGTCCGGGCCGATCGGGACGCCAAGTGCGACATAGTGCGACGAACCCGCGATGCCGGGCCTAAGGTGGCGATGTCCCTAATTCCCTTGTTGTATACTCGTTTCTTTCAAGATGGACGCGTGGATCCGTCGTGGAAACACAGGGCATTCACAATGTTGGCCACGAAAGGAGACAGGTCCAACGCGCAAAACTGGAGGCTTGTTGCTTTTCTGAAGGTGATTTAGTCTACAATGTCCTGTGCAAATTGGTGCATAGACGATTGAGAAAAATGCCAGCACCTAGTCCGCCAGTTGCTTCGCATTGCTTCGCCTCCGCGTCCAGCAGGCTCCTGTGGGCGCGGCGTTGGTGGGGCCTGCTCCCCGTCGCCGTTCAAAGGGCCGCAGCGTGCCGGAGCTGCCGAGCTCGCCGGACGGGGTCCCCCTCGCTGATGTCCTTGAGCTCGCCAACTCCGCTGCCGCTGAGGTGAACGCAGCGTTTGTACACAGTAGGGGGGGGTACGGGATCGGGATGTCGATCGCTGCGAAGAAAAAGAACCTAAGCACCGCCTCCTGCAGGGGTGCGATGTAATGACCTTCGGGTGCCTCGGCAATCGCGCGGACTAGCTCAGCGAGGGACGTGATGTTTCCAGCCCGTGCTCCGGCCCAGCCCGAAACACCGTAAAACCGAGGGGAAAAAACCGAGGGCGAGTGCAAAACCGGCGGCACGTGCTCGACAGCTACGGAAAGCTCTGCGCGGGGATGAAAGCATGTGCCCGCAAAGCATCGACAGCAGCAGGCCACCCGAGTAATTTTTTTTTTCTCGGCCTTTTCCGACTGCAACACGGTACCAGAGCTACGTTGGTCGAACTACCACCACAGCGGGCGGTCCCGGTTTAGGGCCGCAGGGGCAGGCGGCTAGGCCCTTCATTGGTGGCGAGGTCAAGCACGCGGTCCAGTGCAGGGCCGTCGCTCGGCCCAGGCAGTGGCGCAGCCGGCCACGCTCGGCCCAAGGCTGTGCTCGCCACGGCGAGCTGGACCGCAACGGAAAGGGCTCCCCACCAGCGTCTTGCCCAGCCGGAGGACGCCGCATCGCGCACGGCAGGCGGCGCACGCAGAGCGCGGAGCCGGACGAGGTCGCAAACAAAGCGCTGCGCTGCAGTGCTCCAGCGGCCTCCTATCTCGGAGCCTAGGACCACGAGCTTCTGCGGGCCGCCCCTCGCGAGTTCGGGGTACGTGCAGCGCTTGCGTCGCTCTGCGACCTGCAGCACGGCACCGTCAACCTCCACGGCGCATGGATGTGGATGACCCGTTCTGGTTAGAGGAGATACGAGTGTTGCGTCGCAGCACAGCGCTCCTCCGTTGGCGGTGGCCCCGTAGACGACGAGATCAAGGCGGCGGCGGTCGTCGGCAGGGACGCCTGCTGCAGTCGTATGGGCGAGCCACTGCTGTGGCACGACCTGACCTTCGGCGCCGACGGCCTCTCGCGCCACGCGGACCCACGCGCGCTCGACGACTTTGGCGCGTCTGGCCAACAAGCCTGTCCTCGGGCAAGCGAGGGCATGGTCGCCATAAGGGTCGACGACGCCACCACATCCCGGGTTGGGGCCGCAGCGTCCAGGTAGAGGCAGCCGTAGGCGACGCCGCAGGGCAATTTGCATCGCTTGTGGCGGGATGCGGCTTGCTTCGTCGCACGGTATGGCGGTGAGCCATGCACCGGCATGCGGTCCCGCTTGAGAGCCCTTGGTCCTGTAAGGTGCGACGCGCATGCGCTGCCTCTGCGAGACAGTGCGCGTCGTCCCCGACCTCGGACTCAAGTAGTTGCACGTATCTGTCCGCGCACCGCGGCAGGCGTGCGCGTATGGCGGGCAACGCGTCGGCCCAGGAGGCCCAGTAAGCTGCAGGCGCCGTGGTCTCTGCTGACTGCAATCCTAGGCCGCCCAGCGCGCCTGGGAGGGCCGCAATATGCCGTGCCTGGGTCGCGTCCGCGTCGCCTGTTCCGCCCAGCATGTTCTGCAGCGTCGTCCAGACGGCATCGTCATGTCCCCGGGCGTACGCCGCAGACGCCGAGGGGGGCATGAAAAGCGGGCTCAAGCCTGACTTAGTGCGAGGAAGGGGCTGTCCTTGGGCACCAGGGGTGCAGCTGGGAGGTCCTGGGTAGCTTCGCCTTGAGGGGGGGGGGTTGTCCTTGGGCGCCGGAGTGCGCAGCCGGGAAGCCTCTTAGTACTTGGTAGCTTCGCCCATGGTCGCCGTGCTGCTCCGGCTCAACGACATCGAAGTCGAGGCAGAAGAGGTCGACGGACGTCTGGTCCTGACGCTCCAGGCGGTGCGCGAGCTCGGCGGCGAGGTGCTGCGACCCCAGCCCGCGTCCCCTTTTTCGCGGTCCAGCAGCCTGTCGCACGCCCGGCCCTCACTGCCCCGCGAGGCGCGCCGCTCCCGCAGCCCGCGCCCTTCTGCCAGCTCGGTGAGCGCCGGTCGTTCTCCCAGCCCCTCCCCGTCAGACAGTACATCCCAGTTGCAGCTAAGAGTTGGCAACCGTTGCACCCATATGCGCCTCCAGAGCGGAAAAAAAGGGCACACGCGCAAGGCATGAAGTAGGCTCCATTCATCGCACGGGCAGCACGGCCATCCAAGAAGGGATGGTGGCCACACCTAGCATCGAGCTTGCCGAACCGGCGCTGCCCTCTCTGCTGCCGCTGCGCGCCGCGTAGGAGCGGGAAGGGCAGACTGGACACTTCCTGGCTGACGGAAAATAGGCGCGCGGAAAAAAAACACAAAAACACACAATTGCGTCCCGGATCCGACCCCCGCATGCATGCCCCGTGTGTTTGACGCCGATGCTTTGGGAGGTGGACTTCGCAAGACAACTAGGAAAGGTGGGTGCAGTGGCTGCCCCTTTGTGCCACGGCCTGCGCTCGCCCCGGCGCTTGCCCTTGGTCCTCCACCTTTGCCCTTGCGACTCCCCTGCGCGACGGCACCGACTTTGTACGTTCCTTTGCTGCTTGATGCCGCGGGCATGCTTTCAGCCGAGATGCAGCGCGACTGGCGCTCGCGCGCTCCCATCAACGAGTGGTGTGCCGAGTTGTGTCCCAAGCAAAACGAGCCCCCTGGTGGAAACGGCGTGCAAGCCCTCAAGCCCCATTCCAGATGGCCGTCTTAGATAGGTTCAACAAGAAGCGAGTGCGAATCGCAAGGTGGTGCTCAAAACGTCGGATGAGGTCCAAGGCTCGCTGCGGGCTGGCAAGGATGGTGACTCCGCGCGGATGCGTTCAGGCCGGATATCGGCTGATGCCATCATAGGCGGGAAACAACAGAAAGGTGGGGGTCTGTTGCACAACGGGCTTGACATGGCTTGAACCTCGTGGATCAAAGCCTCGGGCCCAACTCGGCTCCCGAGTGCATATTGGTGTGAATGGCAAGCGTCCGCCGGAGGTCCAAGTAAGGCTTGTAGGGGTTTAGCTTGTACAGGGCTTAGTGGAGCTTAATGTTTAGGGGATGTTTCCGCTATAAGGCTGGTCGGGATGAACGGGTTTTAGGGTTTTGCGGCGCTGCGTGTTTACTCCCAACGGCCTTAGTCGCCGCCAGTTTGTTTGGATCGTTGCACTCACTGGGGGGAAAAGGATGTAAACATACCTGATTCGGAAAAGACGAAACAATGGCTTGTAAACACTGACAGCAACAGTGACAGTTCTCCTAGCTCACAAGTGATGAGGATGGTAAGTTTTCCGTACTAGTTCGCACAAACTAAATAAAGGCTTTGCCCATGCTGCACCACGCATGGCCGACGCAGGAGAAGAAACCGAGGTGCAACTTTTCAAGCTTTTTGTTGAAGCGAGGTGGGAGTCCGTCTAACTCGGTGCCAGTGGCCAAACTTGCAAGAGGAAGAGAACGAGCTCCTCAAGCCGGGGGCAAACTTGGCTTTGTGGGGAGCCGCTGCGGTTGAGGTTCGTTTAAGGCGAAAGTTGAGCCAATTGATACCAAGAAAGAAAAAACGATAGACGTTGTGTGTCGTTGAGTGTTGCCATCGCTCGAGGTCCAGAACAACCCAGACTCACAATCTGCAGCAGTGCTCTCAGATGCCCAACTGCAGATTCTAGCAGTGCTGGCCATGCCGCTCCCAGGTTTGTGATGCTGTCCTGAAAGATGGCCGCGCGTTGATCCATGCCACGCCGAGCATGAAGGACCATAAAGAGGTGCCCTAGAAATGTGGAATGCTAGGAAATGTGAGGAACTGTGCTTGGGAGAGTAGTAATTTTAATGATGCAATGCAGGTTGCATTGAAAGCGGTGTCAGCCGATGGCACTGCTCTCATGTTTGTCTCGGAGACGCTACAGCAAGACAAGGCGTGGCATCGCTTGGCTTGGTTTGGCATGGCTTGCAGCTTGGTCTTGAGGTGTGCCACGTCGCAATATTTTGCATAGCATGCGCGACGTAGGAATGTGCAGGACATTGTGCTTGCCGCTGTCCGCCAAGATGGCACTGCGCTGCGTGGCTCGGATGTATTGAAAGCCGCAATGAACCTGTTTATCTCAAGTTCAAGACTCAAGATGTGCAGGGTCTTATGGGCCCTAACCTTTGCTATCCTTTGCTCATGGCCGTTCGAACCCGTTTTCAGATATTTTTTTTAGATTGTCTCGCCGCTGCCCGCTGGGACACCCCACCTGGCTCTGCCTTGAACGCATCCGATACGCCGGAGTCCAGACTGCCCAGCAGTCAAATTAGATTCCAAACGCAATATATGCTTTATAAACGAATATACAAACAGTATATTCATGAACTGTATTGAATATTCAGCAGTCTAATTAGATTCCAAACGCAATAGATGCTTTATAAACGAATATACAAACTGAACGCCCAGCCATTGCCCTTTTCTCCCTTGCCCATCCTCATGAGTCGCTCCCGTCCAAATGATCAAATGTGCAATGGCCGCCAACCGCCCGCCTACCCATGTGAGACCGGCCCGGCTCCTGCTACGCCCCTCTGGATGCTGCATGCGCAGGCGCCTGTGTGACATGTCCCCGGGGGCAGGTCCCTCTTCCATAGAGGCTCCGCTGCCATCACCAATTGCGCCGTCGTGTCGCGCGCATTGGGACCCTTTCTGGTCTTCCTCTCTGCACCCCCACCTGTGGCCCGATTGTCCCATCTAACGCTTTTCTCCCAGCCCACTCCGTCTAGCTTCAAGACTGCCTCAGCCATGAGTCGACAACGGCTACAACGGGCCCTGAGTACCAACTGTGTGTGGGTGCCGCTTGCATGGGAAAGCCACTGTCGGCACCATGCAACGCTCGCGGGCGACAGGTCCTGCACTCTTGTTTGTGGCAGGGGCATTTTTCTCGAAACTTGCGGGGGAGGGGGGGGGAGGGGAAACCAAAGCATCAAAATAAAAGTTGCACGTCATGCAGCCGTTTTGCCCAGGACCCGGTGGCGCAGTCGAGGGTTGGAGCCCACTCCCTATTCCTGTCAAGCAGAAGGTGGGCCAGCATCACGCGGGGACAGCGTAAAAGGAAGAAAGACAGCTAAGACCGCACGGCGGTCGGGTGCTGCTCCTCGCATGTTGCCTTTCGAGGCTCGTCTGAAGCCTAAACTCTAACCCGAAACCCTAAACGCAAGCGATCTCAAGGAACATGTCCATGACTTTCCTGACACTTTTCCTGGTCAGCGACGTCCTGATTGTCCGGCCTCTCCTCTTTCGTGAGCCGCCGTGAGAGGTGTCCCAGCGGAGGCCCCCCCTCCCACTTTGTGCTTGCCCTCATTTACTCATGGCTGAGACCACGCTGGACCTGGAAAAAAGGTGCGGCTCAAAAACAAACAGGTCCCACAGTGGCAGTGCCATTTTTGTGCGTCTGTCTGTCAGGTCTGGCTGCCGAAGCGTTGGCGGCTGATAGAGATGTTGCCGCCGGGCCGAACCCATGAGAGAGCATGTGCGCGTGCATATAAGCGAAACTGAAGCAGCGTACTTTGCATGTGAGTTGCGTTGCTTTTGGTTTGCAGCGCCGATGCGTGTGAGGTGCTTGTAGCTGTTGGCCAATCTGGCCTAGCATTGCGCCATGCCGCCGAAGAGTTGCGCGACGATAAGGTTCGACACAGGGTGAGAAGCCAAGTGCCTGCGCAGATCCCCTATGATCCCCTTACTGTGTTTTCGGATGGCAGGACGTTTGCCTGACAGCTGTGCAGCAAAACGGTCGGGCATTGAAGTACGCTTCAGAAAGATTGCGTGCCGACAAAGATGTGGTTGATTTGGCCATGGACAACACCACAGATTCTTGCATGCTTTGTGGTTGGCTGGCATCATTTTAGGGGGTTGTTGCGTTGGGTCAGCAGTACTGAGTACTTGTGCGAAGGAATCTTTGCCATATGCTGGTGAGGAATTGAAGAAGGCCGGCCCACGTCAAACTCAACTTTTCTCGGGTTTTTTTGTGTTGTAGTTTGGCAGGAATGGGAGACTGTCCTCACAGAGAGGTGGAAAGCAGCGGGTCTCCACATCGAGAGGCGAGTAGCAGGGCAGATCGTGAATCAGATATCGACCAATGGAATTTGAGTTTCACTGTTTGCCCACGTTTCGGACGTGAGCTAGTTCTCGAAAGAGGCTTGTGCAACATGTTGCGTCAAAACCAGGGATGCGTCATGATGCGTCCCAGTACATGTTGCAGGTTCTACACGCTGACATGCTATGCTCCGAGCAGAAGTGGCTCATCGTGTGCACTTTTTGGGAACAGTTGCACTAGACGCTTGTACTCTTTAGCCATGCAAAAGGAACAACCACAACATATGCTAGCGCATTTCTCAAGTACAGCGCTTCTGGAAGTGATTGATTGTGGTAGTCTTTTGTTTGTCGTTGTCATGCAGTATGAGGACGTTTTAGGTCGATGCCACCGTGCCATGGCAAATGGTTGATGGCGCAAAAGGCGAGTTGTTTTCAGCTCTCCAGTTGCTCAACTCCTCACTTGGCAAGCCGGCAAGCGTTGGTTGCGGTGCCAATTGCCAAGTTTGACCTTTGGCTAGAATCAGTGCAAAATTCGCAGGTTGTGTCTCTGCATGCCCGGCAAGAAATGCTTGTGCCAGAGTCCTGGACAGAACCGTGCTGAGGTGCACAGCTTGTGCTCGAAAACAATAGTCCGCAGCAGACTGGCGCCGGGCTACTGTGGTCACAGAAGCCATCGCTGCAGCTGGTACTTGCAAAGCCTGGCCGTAGAACGGGTCATACGCTGCGGATCACGTCCGTTTGCTTTTGCCAAAGGTATTTTGATTTCGACGAACTGGATGACATTGAGGAGGTCGGGCGACCGGTTATTGCCACGGCGTTGACCCCCGTGCAGCCGAAACAAAGGCAGGGCTTGCTGAAAGGCTCTGAGAGATTCTGAGAGTGAGTGTGCGTTTTTTGTTGTGTCGGGTCTTCGGGGGCAAACCGCGGAGGCTGTACCAAGGCGTGGTCACATTGCAGATTGTCGCTGCGCCTGGTTTGCAATTTCGGCATTCAGTCTGGCGTGTCTTGGGTGACGCCACGTTTGGGAGTTGTGATAATGCACGGACCCAGTAGTCAAGAACGAGGATGAAGATAACCCCCGGAAAAGCAAAGCTGGGCAGATGCATGTAACATGGGTGCCTAAGAGCCCCACGCCGAGGGAGAAGCAGCTCCTGCACTAACGTTTGCAACAGAGACTTCGCGACATCCGATTTTTCGAAAGCTAAGGCGATTACGGGGGCAGAGGTGTGCAAGTTGACGCATGTAGCCCTCGACTGGACCATCTGGGATGTCAAGGCTCGTGCTTGCATGCAGCTGACCTGCCGTTTTGCAAGCATCGGCATCCAGGAACTCATCGAGAGGATGGAGGGGACAAAGCTAAGCTCGCAGAAATTGCTCTGCGATCATGGCAAGGCCGACACCCCCCCCCACCCCCTCACCAATCCACGCCTCCCTTTCTTGACTTTTGCATAAGTTGCTTACAGTACTGTATTCCTTTCCTGGTTGGAGGTTGCCAGTGACAATGCCATTCTTGGTGATGTGCTGGATGGCGCAAGCGGCGCAAACGGCAGAAACCCTCAGCTCAGCCTCATCCGCTCTCCTCCTGTTTGGGCTGGACCACTGGAGACATTAGAACGTATACAGTATGGATGTGCTTGATGGAACGGGTGGTTTATGTGTTTTTTGGGTTGGTGCCATTCGTCACCATATTTCATGATGTCTCATGCCGCCCAACGAGCTGGTTGCAGATCTGAACTGTTGCAGTGCAAGATTTTTGGCGAAGGATTGCTGGCAAGCATTGCAGCTGGAGAAGTTCATCTTGAGGATTTAGACGAAGGTCCTGCTACAGCAAGGGTTCAGAAGCTCCACAGAAGATACGTGTGGCCCCTCTTTCACACATGTTCACACCGTTCACGCCCAACATCGCCCAACAACTTTTGCTCGCAGCACAGGTGCTCGCAGTGATCGAGCAATCGTACTTGCGGCTGTGAATGCAAGTCAAGGCAGAGCTTTAGCCCACGCCGGGTCCTCAGCTTTTCCCATCGATGGGACATGGCACTTCGGCCGTATCATTTCGGGAGATGAGAAGTCGACAGCAAGGCATCTGCCACACTACGTGGCGACAAGGCTCGTGCAACTCTTGTGGTGACTTTGCCTTAAGAGGCCAGAGGTCTGTAGCTGGAGAGGAGATTGTGGCCGAAGCTGTGAAGCGCAATGGGCTATCCCTGCGACACGCCACTCCGGCGATGCGAGCGGACCGTGTCTTGTTTCAATATGCGCTGCACAAGCTTCGGAGTTTCGTTGCCATGTGGCCCTTGTGTCCTATGACGTCCTATGCCTTTCCCAGAGTTCTCTTCGAGGTGACCTTGTGCTGACAGCCGTTCGTGAATGCCCTATGGCCTTGGAGTTTGCAAGTGACATGCTTCGCAAAGATCATGATTTCATCGTCAACGCAGTCCGTGTTTCAGCACGAGCTGCTGGATGCGTCGCGGAGGAGACTGCATCACCACGTCGTGGTTTGCTCACGTTGTCATGCATTCCTTCCAGCATTCTGCAGTCGCGTAGTGTTGGAAAGAAGGAACTTCGACAAGAAGAGTTAGGCTAATTGAGTATTGATTGACTGCCTTTGGTGCCTGAATTCCCACAGCTAAGCGGAGCAAACGCAGCCGGTTTTGCAAACCACACATGTTCAAGATTCAGTCCAATCTCAAAACCGTCGGACATACGACTCACACGCAGTGTGCTTTGGGGCTTGGATGCACCCTTGTTTCGTTCGATTTGTTTGCAAGATGGAGAAGTGTGGCTGTGCTGAAAAGCATCGATTCCTGAGCTTCTGCAAAATACTCGGCAACGTCAGAGTGTTACTCGGATACGCTGCCACATGAGATATGTGGCAGCGCACAATGATGTGGCCATCAGTGTGTCCAACTCGCGTAGACCAGGGGGCTTTTGTTTGCATCTTTGCAACTGGAGAGCAGGAGCTGCAGAGAAACTTATCCTTCGCTGGGGAGCTACTGTCTGCATTTCCTGCTGTTTTCGCGCACCTGCCGCCGCAGTTGCGAACATCATCGGACCCGTGCCTGCAAGCCCTTGCAGGATTGCCGTGGCAGAAGTGCTGTAGTTGAAGGTTTCGGCTGGAGGCGTTGTTATGTGTGCATATATATATGTGTATATATATGTATACATATATATATATATATGTATATGTACATATATGTATATATATATATGGAGGAATACAATTACGGTTCCCTTAAGCCTCGCAAACGAGAGGGCGTTTGCATGTGAACGTGATTTAGGGGCATGAGGTGCTTCTTTTTCAGGTCCTTTTACATCGTTTTAACAGGTCTAACCCTTGGCTCGGCACAAGAGTATCACCTGAAATCAGGTTTAGAAAGGCATAGTGCCCTTCAGCCGGCCAGTCCAGTGTTCCATCGAACAAATTCCATTCTTCATGCCAACCTCTCCGTGCACAACAAGCCAGGGTTTAGCTCTCACAGGTGATTCTCAGCGTGGCATGATTTGAAGGAACACATGCTCCTTGCTTAAGGATTTCATTCTACGAGCCGTCCGTTGCAACGGGGATGTGCTGCGGTTTGCCACCGGATGGCACTCGCACCCAGAGGCCAGGTCTCCATCGACAAGTGCAGCTCTCATGCCCGATGCTTTCTGCAAGGTTGTGCTGACAGCCATACAGAAGGCACGTTGAACAGAAGTTGGTGAGGAGCAAGTTCTGAAGGTCTAGCTGCTCCACATTCTTTCCTCAGTCGAGGCACCACAGGCCGTGCACTTTGTGGATGCCTCTCTGCGCCAGCGTGCTGAGCTGCGCGCTGAAATAACCCTTGCGGATCTTGTTCTTGTTCTTTCTTCTTCTTCTTCTTCTTGTTCTTGTTCTTGTTCCTGTTCCTTCTCCTTGTTCTTGTTCTTGTTCCTTCTTCTTGTTCTTGTTCCTTCTTCTTGTTCTTGTTCCTTCTTCTTGTTCTTGTTCTTGTTCTTGTTCTTGTTCTTGTTCTTGTTCTTGTTCTTGTTCTTGTTCTTGTTCTTGTTCTTGTTCTTGTTCTTGTTCCTGTTCTTGTTCTTGTTCTTGTTCTTGTTCTTGTTCCTTCTTCTTGTTCTTGTTCTTGTTCTTGTTCTTGTTCTTGTTCTTGTTCTTGTTCTCGTTCTTGTTCTTGTTCTTGTTCTTGTTCCTGTTCCTGTTCCTGTTCCTGTTCTTGTTCCTTGTTCTTGTTCTTCTTGTTCTTGTTCTTCTTGTGCTTGTTCTTGTGCTTGTTCTTGTGCTTGTTCTTGTGCTTGTTCTTGTTCCTTGTTCTTGTTCCTTGTTCTTGTTCCTTGTTCTTGTTCCTTGTTCCTGTTCCTGTTCCTGTTCCTGTTCCTGTTCTTGTTCTTGTCTTGTTCTTGTTCTTGTTTGTTTTTCGCCATTGTTTGTTGTTGCAGTTGTTCTGGTTTGGTGTTGGTTTGTCATTCATTGCTGTTATTCTGATTATTTGTAGTTTTTGTTTTGTTGTTTAGGGTTTAGGGTTTAGGGTTTAGGGTTTAGGGGTTTAGGGGTTTAGGGTTTAGGGTTTAGGGTTTAGGGTTTAGGGTTTAGGGTCGTTCGTTCGTTCGTGTGTTTGTTTGTTTGCTTGTTTGTTTGTCAGTCCAGTCCTCAAACCAGAATTGCAGCCTCGGCAGCCAGGTGAGCAAAGTGGATAGCTCCTTCTCTCGTAGGCTGGAAAAGTTTGAAGCCGTACAGCTGTGCTTTCAGCGAGGGCCAGGCCCTCCGGCTGGTAGTAGTAGTAGTAGTAGTAGTAGTAGTAGTAGTAGTAGTAGTAGTAGTAGTAGTAGTAGTAGTAGTAGTAGTAGTAGTAGTAGTAGTAGGAGTGGTAGTAGTAGTAGTAGTAGTAGTAGTAGTAGTAGTAGTAGTAGTAGTAGTAGTAGTAGTAGTAGTAGTAGTAGTAGTGTAGTAGTAGTAGTAGTAGTAGTAGTAGTAGTAGTAGTAGTAGTAGTAGTAGTAGTAGTAGTAGTAGTAGTAGTAGTAGTAGTAGTAGTAGTAGTAGTAGTAGTAGTAGTGGTAGTGGTAGTGGTAGTGGTAGTGGTAGTGGTAGTAGGTAGTAGTAGGCAGTAGTAGTGGTAGTAGGTAGTAGTAGTGGTAGAAGTGGTAGTAGTGGTAGTAGTGGTGGTAGTAGTAGTAGTAGTAGTAGTAGTAGTAGTAGTAGTAGTAGTAGTAGTAGTAGTAGTAGTAGTAGCAGTAGCAGCAGCAGCAGCAGCAGCAGCAGCAGCAGTAGAAGTAGTAGTAGCAGCAGCAGCAGCAGCAGTAGCAGTAGCAGTAGCACAGTAGCAGCAGCAGGAGTAGGAGAAGGAGTAGGAGTGGGAGTAGGAGTAGGTGCAGGAGTCGGAGTCGGAGTAGGAGTCGGAGTAGGAGTCGGAGTAGGAGTAGAGGTCGTCGTCGTCGTCGTCGTAGTAGTAGCAGTAGTAGCAGCAGCATCAGCAACAATAATAAGAGCAGTAGTTGTCGTAGCAATAGAAGGAGTAGCAATAGCAATAGCAATGGCAAAAGCAATAGCATAGCAGTAGCAATAGCAATAGCAATAGCACTAGCAATAGCAGTAATAGCAACAGAATTTTAGGAGTCTGCATCGTAATAGTACTATTGTTGCTGCTGCTGGCGTTGGTTGCTGTCATTGGTTCGTTGCGAAGTCGGCGTAAGGTTTGGGACAGCGGCTGTGATGGTCAACCCATGGGTGTTTGAGCAGCTGCTTGGCTTCAATAATGTACGTGGCCCGATAAGATGTGTGTTTTGGGGTTTCAGCCGGACTCGAAGGCTCGGATCCCAACATCGGAACGACTTGGCCTTGGCGCTGCAAGCTGCCAGGGCGCAGCCGGCATTGGCACACTTTGCGGGTGCTTCTGCATGCAGAAAGAAGCAAGAGTCATCCAAGTTCAAGTTCGCATAACTTTGCAGCATTCCTACATGGCGTGCTCAGGTGACAACATTAAGGGCAAGGTCTTGTCTTTAATACAGAAGGAGCAGATGCTTGGCAGCGCAGTCCCACTAACACGACAGCGTGGCACATTGATGTGTTACTACTTAAGTATCTGAAGTGAGTGAATGTGTGTCTGGGTGTGTGTCTGTGTTCAAGGTCCGAGGCTTTCGGAGCTCCGGAAGGCTATGTTGATGGCCCGGTGTGGTGGCTTCCAGAAACGTTAAAGTACCAGCGCAGATCAGCGGAAAAAATAGCAGAGCGGCCGCATCATTCGAATCCCTTGGCAAAGCGTGACAGGACTGAGACCTGTTCTAATCTGAAACTGCATCGCAGCTTTTCTCGGATCGACATGCAGACTGCCCCTCTACAATATCCAAAAGAATGTTCCTTGTCCAAAAGAGATAGACGTCTAGTGTATAGTTGTGGAAAAGTAGTTGTGATTCTGCGCAACGTTTCCAGGCAGCGCATCGAGCGGCGTGAGCTAATCTCACAGCTGAAGCGCCGAGGGTCCAAAGTGGAGAAGGCCCCATTGCCCTGAAGCTTTTGTGAGAATTTGTGAGCTCCTGCACAAACTCGGTCAGTATCTGTCAGTGCAGTCCTGCAACGCTAAGTGAGGCGGCTCTCGCCGAGAAGTTGCTGTACCACAACGGTACATTAACCGACAGCGTGCAGGAACTTGGCAAGCCAATTGTCAGCTAATTGCTAGCTATTGGGCCAATCATGTCCTGTCCCGAGGACATAATGCTGGGAATTGGTGGTTTCAAAGATGCTGGTGCGTGGTATTCTGCCATACACGTATTGGCCATGATGCAGAGGGGCCACATGGCTGTGGACTTGCCGCTTGTGAATTGCGTGCCGCTCATTTGCATAGGTGCTGGTGGCAAATGGATTAACTATTGTTGGTTCATGGAACTCGGCATTTTTGCCTCTGGACGACCAGGATGTCTGCGTGCAAAGATCGGGGTCACGAACTGGCCCAGCAGCTCGTTGCGTTTTTGGTGGCGGCACTTTGGCCGATTTCAGATTTCAACGGGGGGGCGCTAGGGTTTTTGAGGTTCCAAGGGTCTGGGGTTCTGGGTGGACGGGGCGGTTTGTGGGTTCAGGTTAGGGTTTCGTCTAAACGGTCTTCGCTCATCTCGCCTCGGCTGCGCTCGAGATTGGTTTTCAGTATCTTTGCATTGCCTTGGTATTTGTCTGCCAGGCCAGGATCCAACCAGATGCCAACACCTTTCGCTCCGCGGCCGAATCAGTGCGCAGTGAGCAGTGGAATCTGCGCAAGGCGTGCTTTTGCTTCGCTTTGCTTCACTGGCTGAGGTTGTGCTGCCTTGTGCTGCAGCGATGACCAGTGGTCGTTTGCACTTCAGTGGCTGGCTGAAGCCAAGAAGGAAGCAGTCCCGCATGTCCCGCTGGGAGGAAACTCCACTTCGCTTTATCGATTTTTTGTGCTCAGTGGGTTTTGGCAGGGTTCAATCGTGTACGGACGCAGAATAAAGCAGTGTAGGGCGTGGAAGGCAGATTTGTCGTGCTGTGTTGCCAGCATGCATGTTCAATTCTTGGGACAACTTCGAGTCCAGCCAAGGAGTCTACACGGCTGCCTGGTTCTCAGTCCCAGCTTTGTGCGCAATTCGGTCGCAACTTGGCCGGGTTGGAGATTGCATGGATTGCTGCAGCTACAAGGTGATGAGCGTGGCGCGCAAAGCGCGGTGCTGGGATGTCGCTCTCCCTTTGCTGAAGGACATGTGGCCTGACAGAGCCTAGTGGCCAGTGACATCCTTGTGAATCTGAGTTCTTGTTTTGTTCCTCCGCCACATACGCATCGTTTTGTGAACCACTGAGGCAGCAGTGGCAGGAGGCACCTGACACTAAGTTCTTCAACTCAGCGCTCTGGTCGTGCAGCCGAGGGCAATGGGAGGCGGGTATCCTTTGTGGCACAAATAGAAGTTAATTGTGTAGGCCACAGTTGCCCAAATTAGTCCCCTTGAGGCCTCGAGGCAGAGACATAACTTCAGCATTTGTCGTGCTGGTTATCTAGCGGTTAGGTACGGTCGTGCCTGTGCACCGCATTTGCGGACGCAGCAACAGCTGTTGCGATTCCTTTGTCGACAGGCAATGATCGGAAGAGTCAAAAGGGATTACTATTGCGATACCTTGCACAAACTTCCAGAACTTCCTTCTGCCCAGTATGGCGCTCACACCGAAGAGCTGTCCAATTCCTCACCTTTCGACCCGAATACAGAGCGGTCAGCTCACGAACTCGTGTCATCCCCACTGGTCGTTTACCAAGTCTTCGATGAATAAAGCTGAAAGGCAGCGAAACTTCGCTCACTTCGTCAGTTCCTCCCTTGTAGCTCATTTTAGTACACTTTCCATATCGTTTCCCTGTTGCCATTGTCATCAACTCGGCGGAACTGAACATCACACACCCAGGGTGGTACGCACGCATACTATTACCTTGTGTGAACTTGTGAACAAGGAGAAGAGAGAAAGACGCATGCAGCAGCATGCACATAATGAACTAAGTTTGCACGTTGCAAAAGCTATGTTTACTGAGGTTCTCGTGCCTCGTAGAAACACTCGTTGATGTGGGCGCGGAAGTCTACTCTAGTGCCCACATTCGCCTAGGCCTAGGCCAATTTGCAATGTGGGCTGCAATAAAGCATAATTCATAACGCTGACTGCAGGGCACAGTCCAATCCTGGTAGCCAAGATCTCATTTTGTGTCTGTGCGGCGAGTCGTCGTGAAGCTCTTCCAGCTTCGCAACAACAAAGCTATGAAAGCCATGTCATGGGTGGCTGACGGTGGCTGGGCGTAGGGGGGGGGAGGCCTCGCACCATGCCGAACACTGCAGCAGAAAAACGTGTCATGCACTGACCTCGCAAAGTGCATCGCGTTGCCAGGTTTCTGTTCATCTGCTGCGGCGAATGGAATCAGCTGGGGTGCCAAGCGAGCCGTTCACGTACTTTGCGGCTTCGCAGGTGCCTGGTGATCATGATCACACAGATGGTATGTATATGTATATATTCTCTTCTTTCCAAGTGTTCTGCTTGACACATCCTGTTTAGTTCCTCTGCTCTGTGTACCTGTTGGCTATAGACATATAGCCACCTACAACAGATCCACCAACCGCGACCCAATTCATGTGCAGGAAGTTCGTAGGGAATGGCTGTCGTGAGAGTGCACGCGTCGAGCGTGCGTGGAACGTTGCATCTGGATCGTGGCAGGAAGTCCCGGATGAGTCCACGGCTTCCTGCATGGTGCAGCATCTGCGACGAATGCGAACGCATTCGCTACATATCGATATCTGTCAATACGCAAAAATGCTGGCGCACTATGCCCGTGATGATGACGCTGAGAAGATGTTGTAGGGTCGTAGGAGACAGTGCATGGATTTTGGTTTTTTGCTGGCCATGCGTGTGTGACAGCCGAGGAATGGCCTTCTCTGAGACGGGCTGTTCTTGAAGGTGGAGGCTGAACAGGGTCAGCACGTGTCGGCCATCCCCCAAGGTGACTAGCTCATGATGATGGTGGCGCATCCTAGCGTGTCAAACCTTGCGATGAAACTCAGATGCTCCCGGCGTCATCCGCGGCCTCATAGACCATTTCGGCTTCACATTGTCTTTCAACATTGGCATGTACGATATGCAACCAAACCTTTTGTTTTGCGCTTTTGGCTACCATAACCTTCGTGCTTCCAGGATGCCTATCCAAGTCGCAAAGAAATATGGCCGGCTCAGCCCGGGGAGTGGACGGATCAATTTTGTCGCCCTTGACACAGTCCATATCTGAACTGCCCATGGTTGGTCGATCCTTGGGCGGGCGTTTTCCTAACGCCCGGCTCAACGCCGGGCCCCTCCTCATGAAAGCACAGTCTTCAACCGCCTCAGGCCACAGTTGAGTTGTGCACGGAGCGTACCATTTTTACAATCCCGATGTACTCGTATCTTTCAGCCCCCCCCCCCCCCCCCCCCCCCGTTCTGCTGATGTAGGAACAATCATGTACATGTATCCGGCTGCCCATCATGCGGCAGTGGCACATGTGTAGGGTTGCCTGCGCATGGCAAAAAACGCAAAAACACATGCATTTTGGCACCTCGACCACGCCGATCCCCGCAGAGGGTTGCAATCCCGATCGATGGCGACGACGCCACCCCCCACCGAACAAGAATGAATTTTCATGCCGAGATCTATGTTTCTCTGCGTTTGACGGAGCAATTGGCTATGCACTTGACTCTATGCACTTGGCTCTATGCTCAACTCTCGGCGTTTGAGGGTACACTTGGCTATGCACTTGACGCTATGCACTTGGCTCTATGGTTCTTGGCTCTTCGCTTGGCTATGCACTTGGCTCTATGCGCTGGACTCGATGGTTTTTGGCTCTGCACTTGGCTATGTACTTGTCTTCGCTCGATGGTTTGGTCGAAGGGCTCCGCATGGAAGAACCCTTCGCGATGCTTTCGGGAAAACTTCAACAAACAAAGAAACAATAAAGAAATGCACTTGTGGCCACCTACTAGAGTGTAAAAGGGTTTCGAGAGCTCAAGCAAATCAAGATCTCATCTTCGCATAGTGAAAGCAGCGCGCCCTCAAAATGCCCCCCAAGCTTAAACCTTTCGAGGCCACCATCCTCCAGGAAAACATTGAATCTGGCTTCGTAGAGTCTTCAAACGGTATTATGGTTATGGACAGTTATGGAGTTTGATTGGCTTCTGGTTTTATGAAACCTTTTTCGACTTTTCAATGAAACGCAACATGCAATCCCCCCTCACTCAGCCACCCGCAAAGGCATCAAAAGGCTTGGCATGTACAACCACAACCCCAACCATATTCTATCTATGGGCATCCAGATTTCGAAAAGCGCGCATAGTCCATCTTTGCGGTCAGGAGACGACCAGATTTCGAAAACGTAACCGTAACACTCGGAAATCAGGTTCTATCTACTCAAGGATGCCTAGAAGTTGCTGTTCTGATCTTTTGGAGCCCTCACCCACGAGGCTGATTGAATCCACGGTTCAAGGCTGCTCATAAAGTTTCATGTGCCTTGCTTCTGCTTTCCTGCAGGCTTTTTGTTGCCACTACGGCGGTGCTTGACGCACAACTTTGATCAAGAGATCGGCTGGTATCGTTCGCACGTGCTCGAGAGCAAGAATTTGACCAGGCGACTAAACGCGATGTGCAAACAAGTCCAGAACATGCTCTGCTTTTGATGAAGCTGATCGGCGGAGGCAGTGGTTGGACTCATTCCCAGATGGGGCTCAGTACGCTGACTGGAGGAGGCTGCGAAAGACTTTGAAGCACCTGGCCTCAAATTGACCAGCGTGATGCAGCGGTCGGGGTTTAGTGCCTTCAGCAATCATTGGTGTAGAAGCTGTCGGCTATGATGCTAATTAGTTGCCAGCTATTGTGCTTGTGTTTCGGTGTTGTCGTGTGTTTCCTGTCTGGGAGAGTTCGCAACTTCCGGCGGGCCTTCGGCAAGCCTTCGGCGGGCGACCAGAAGTGTCGAAGTCCATGTTCTTGGGTCCTCGTCGTCCCGGTGCCGGTCGCAGAATTGTCGGGGTCACGATCCGCGTGTGACTCGCCTCGCAGATCCAAATCTCAAGAAGGGATCGGGCGTGTTGGGGTCGCACTCATCGTGACACGTCGTGACTCAAGTTTCGCTTTCAGACCCTCGGATCGCTTTCTCTTGTCAAAAGTGGCAACAGTCACAGGGACGCGGGGGATGTCGTCGTTTTTGTACACTTGATTTGCGAGCGTGAGCAGTCTCACGGGTGGGGTGTGTCGCGAAGGTGATCGTTGTGAGATGTTGTGAGGTGGTGAAGGGGTTGGCTTTGAAAGGTTCGTCGCTTTGCAGCCTCTTTGACCTAGCTGCTCAGGAAGCTGCGCCGTCCTGATCCATTGGACTACTCCGACATTGGTGCCCACGCCGGAGAGGGGCCATTCCGAAACCGATTCTCTGTAGGGAACCATTTTGCTAGGACCAAAGCCTTTCTAAAGCAAAAGCATGCAGCTTGTCTGTGTCATCCTTGCGCCAGGATACATCCGAAACAAGGTCTTTGAAAAAGACCGTTGCACACAAGTGGCCTGTGTGCTCTTTGGCCCGGAAGCTGTCGCACACGGGCTAGAAAAGAAGGAGCTGCGAAGCTTTTTGTCGGCACTGTTCGGCCTCGACTTTGGGACAGCAGGAGTCTTGCGTGGTGGTCGACGTTGGTGGAGGTCCTGGAATCGCAGCGCTAGGACTGGAGACCCCGTGCCTTGCAAGAAACTGACATGACAAGAATCTGCTTGACATTGGTTTTGGCAGGAATTGCTGTCTATGCCGAGCTGGAAGGATGGCCGGTGCACTTGAAGCACCATGTTGTGGACTGTGAAGCTGCGTGGTCTGGGACCCTCCAGCGTCTTCAGTCAGTGCTGAGGTGGCTCACCTAAGGATTTGGCACCGGTTCAGGGTCAACTTGCCTTGGTGTTTAGCGGCCCAGGCACTGGCGCCCTGAATCTGCTCTGCAGACGGAGCTACGCTTCCATCAAGGTGTGGACAGCAGCATAGTGACTTGTTGAGGTTGCTTTCCGAACATTCAATAGCTGCAAAGGCCAGTTGATGAGCAAGACGTTGGCGCAGGGAGTGCCTGCTCCTGCAGACACCGACATCTTCATTTTTTCTTACGTGCCCTCTTTGCAAATGCCCAGCAGCAGCAGTTTTCCATTGCCCCATCCGCCCCCCCCCGGACAAATCGCCAGCACGGCTCGAAAACGCGAGAATCACTAGAAGGTACTAGAAGGATTTTAGAGAAGGCCTGTCTTAGTTCGGGGTCGGAGCCGCGGATGATCGCGGATGCGTGCGGAGTTGAGACAGCCTGGACTTTAGGCCTTGTCTAGCAGGTTTCCATGAGTCCAGGCACCTGTAGTCTTGCAATTAGTAGGCGGGTAAAGCTCCCACACCAGAGGTAGGGTCGCGTAGCGTCTGTCGCATGCGTGTCGCCTGTTTGTAGCCGTTTCGCTTATGAGCTCTTTGAAGCGAGCCTGAGCTCGCTGCTTACCTGTTGGTCGATTTAGAGAGTTCTGGAGCGTCGGAGAGTTTCCACAAATGCTTGAGGCTTGAAAGCAGAAGCAGCAAGGCATCTTCTAGAGCCGCTGATGTGAGTGTGGACTACCATGAAAAAGCTGGTGAAATAAGCGCCGGACGCTTTCAGAAGCTCCGGCATTATTGGGTTCGCACTCTCCTTAGTACTTGTGAGACATATTTTGCGACCAATTTTAACGCTACGCGACCCGCCTCGGCCCGGCCCAGCGCATCCGCGTGAGCATGGTGATTCCGCAGCGCCCAAATCGCTGGACCCCAAGCAATAAGGGTTGGGTTTAGGGTTTAGGGTTCCGGGTTTATGGTTTATGGTTTGGGGTTTAGGGTTGAGGGTTTGTTTAGGATTGAGGGCTTAGGGCTCAAGGTTCACGCTTTGGGTGTGCTTCGGGCTTGAGGTTTAATCAGATTCTTCTGCTCGTGTAATGCATCCCCGGCCGTGCTTACACCAGTTGAGTCTAAAACCCGCTCACCAATATTCTGTGGTGGCTGGGGGGGAGGGGGGGGGGAGGGTAGGGGGGGGGAAGGGGGGGGGGTAGGGGGGGGGGGGGGCCCGGGGGGCGGAAAGGGGGGGGCCCTGCTGGGAGGGGCTTGAACTGCCTCTGGTCCTGGCGAACCGTCCGCTTGGGGATCCCGGTTTCCTAGGGGGGGTAACCATTTGAGGCAAAAGAAGGGGGGTCCGAAAAATGGCTTCGGGTGTGGGGGAACCTATACACCTCCGGCCCGAGGCTTCGGCGGATTAAGGCGAGTTGCGTCCAACGTGGCGATTGCTTTCATGAAAAGCGGATGGATGGGTCACGGGCATTGCGTGCCAACATCCCGATGACAAGCGTATCCGAGTGTCGTCTCTTGCCAGCGTTCTTTCTGTCTCTCTCTCTCGCTCTCTCGCTCTCTCGGCATCACGCTTCTTTCCGCATCGATGGCGTCTACATGAGAGTCTTCAGACCCTGCCTTGAGCTGGAACGCTGCTGGAACGTAACGTCAGGCGACGCAAACAGGCATGCAGGAACTATGGGCATGTCGGGGGCGCGCGGGTGCAAGGGAGGCCTCATCACGCTTGGGCCTGATCCCGCTGAATTTGTGACTCCACTCCTCACCCAGGCATGGAAGGGAATGACCCCATGTGCCGCTGATGGCAGCTATGTACCTCCAATGGGCTTATCCCACATAAGGCCACAAGTTGCCTCCTCGGATGAGAGGCGGGCTCGGAGCGGGCAATAGTTATATAAGTGTTCGTGAACGCCCTCGACAAGGCCTCGGGAACCGGTTTGCGCGGCGAACGCGGCGAACGTGCCGTGCACGATGGGAGACCCCTTTGGAGCCTCGAGCGGGGCTGGAAACGGATCACGTTCTCTAGCTGCCAGAAGCAACCATCCTTTATTGGGGTGCGGGTGCCCGAACTGAAGTGAAGTTAAATGCATCCTTTACCTTCGTTTTTCACTATCTGTAGAACCTCACCATAAACCGAAGAACCAGAATGTAGCCGGAAGGCTTGCGCCTTGAGTCTAAGTGCCACCAGCGTGTGAGTGCGACATCCGAGCGGAATCCCTCTTCACTCTTAGTCCTATTCACGACTCCAGGTACTGCACGAGAACATAGACGAGCTTCGTTCGAGCGACTTCGGGCTGCTGTCGACCTTGCTTCAGGCCAAATAGGGCCATCCTATGTTCCTGTTTCTGCAGCTAGCATCAGAACCAGCGCAGTTTCATAAAGAAAAGGTTACACGTGAAATTATGCCGCGATATCGATCGTGATGAACCGTAGCGCGACCTGCAGCTTCTGAAGCTTGAGGAAGGTGTGTAGGATAGCAGACAAGCCAAATCTACACGTATGGACGAGAAGGTTCGCAAATCCTGTTTCTCTTACAGAGAACTCAACTCATGCGCTCTGTTGAGGCAGCCCGGCCTGGTGCCATCTTTCTCTTCCTTGATGTTGAGGACACCCTTTGGGCGGAAATTGCTGCTCTGGCAGCTTCCTCTGGCAGGCGATGGGTACCCAGTTTGGCAGACTGGTGCAAGCAGCTGTCCTTCCAGGTTCATGATGCAGCTGCAGCAGTTTCGGAAAGATGACTACTGGCTGGTGTTGCAAAACGGAGAGTAGCGCCGTAGCGACATCAACTTGGTAGAGTTTCTTGGGACGGCTTGTTGCGCACCTGTACTCCTCCCGTGCAGCGTTTCTGCTGCTCAGCAGAGGGTTTGCTGCAGCCAGGCATGAGCACACTTGCTGCTTGCACAAATCTAAACCATGTCGCACGAAATACTTCAAGAGCCACAAGAAGGCCGATTGCACAAAGCCTCACAACAACCCAAGTCCGAGTTCGTAGGATAGGAGGGCGTTAATAACGGCTTCTGGAACGGGCCCTGCGCCTGCGACTGAGTCTTCCGAAGCATCGAGGAACCCAAATTCCATCAACAGTCGTTCAACATCTTTTCGTGTGATTCGCTTAGCGTTTCGATTGAGCAACTCGTTTTTGATTTGCTTGCCTGCTTGAGGCCTTGGAATGGGCAAGGCAGGCAGTGCCAAGGCCATCACAGCTCTTGTGAGTTGCGTGTGCTATCCGGCGCAGCACCGCACCATCCAAGCACCAGGCAGAGCCGAAGAAAGATGCAGAGAAGGCGAAGGCACTCCATTCAAGCAAGGTGAAAACATTAATATTCGTACGCAGGCTATCTGCTGATGTGCTGACATTTGCTCAAAGTGCATGGAGCTATATAGTCACGGGCAATGCACTGCTGCTATTTGCTTGCCATGGCGTGTGGATGTGGCCTTTCATCTCGTCGCAGGCAAGCGGTCAGAAGGATGGCAAGGCCGCAAAGGTTGAGTCAAAGACAGACAGCAAGGACGTGGCTTCTCCTTGAGCCAGCAACCACTGTCAACGAACAGTCTGCGATGCTTGACTTTCCACTGAATAGCGCGACACCCAGGAGCCCAGCAAGGCTCCAGAAAAAGCAGCAGACGATCCAAAAGCAAAGTTGACAACTCCTTGGTCTTTGTGTAGAGCCGTAGAAAGTAGGAGTGCGCAGAACATGTGCAGGCGGAGGTCTTGGTATCAGTCTTGCCTCCCGAGCAACACCCGGTGACCAAGGGCGGAGGAAGCCAGGCAGAAGTTTGCAGACGACGAGCCGGACACCCGAGACTCCTTATCTCGAAGCTCTAAACGCCCTTGCAGAGATGCTAGCAAGAGACAGAAGCGAGGCGGGATGAGTTGGCCAGGATCGACCTGCCATGGCCTCGAAGTATTGGGAGGTGGCACCAGAAGCCTACAGGGACTGCAACTGTAGTGATATCCTTGTTCGAAGTGTCCAGGTTCAAAGTTAGGCATTAAGCGTCCCCTAAGGCGAAAGCTCAACAGAGCAGCAAAGGCTCCTGCTGGGCTTAGTTGCCAATGTCAACAAGATGCCAAATACTGAAAGCATGAAAGCAGAAGTGCGTAGACATGCCAGGCTTCAGGCTCCCAGATGACAGGGTGCTTGGCCTGAGCTGTCTGGGCTATTTCCGCAGTGACAAGTGGCTGCTCCTGGAAGTTCCATTGCCATGTTGTGGGCGTTCGGCGGCGGATGCACACACTAAAACAAAAGCTGGCGGTTGGAGGCGACATTAGCCAACTTGGCCAACTGATCCATCCAGCAAATAACGATATTTTCCAGACTCTTGAGCCAGTAAGATATCTGCCCTGCGACACTTGAAATCTGCGAAAAACGACGTGGGCGGTGACCATCTACCGTACCTAGCTGGAGACCTTGGACTTCAAACGTATAAGATTCGTGTCAGTTTTAAGTCGCGCCTCCATGCTACACTGCCTACCTCTTCGCCACTTGAAGTCTGTAATGGAAAGGAGTTTGGGGACGTTTCAAAGCACTCACTCACTCACTCACATCACTCACATCACTCACATCACTCACATCACTCACATCACTCACATCGCTCACATCACTCACATCACTCACATCACTCACTCCCACCCACACTCACACTCACACTCACACTCACACTCACACTCACACTCACACTCACACTCACACTCACACTCACACTCACACTCACACTCACACTCACACTCACACTCACACCCACGCTCACACACAGACACACTCCACTCAGTCACTCACGTACGCGCTCACTCACTCCAGTCACTCCACTCACTCCACTCACTCCACTCACTCCACTCACTCCACTCAGGGTGTCGTTGTATGCGTAACGGCGTAACATCTGCATGTCTGCATGCTGTTTTGCTGATGGCAGATGAATGCTTCCTTCGCTTTCGACACTCTTTCGACGTTGACGCAGTGCCCAGGAACAGAGACAAGAGCATTGCGCGAGTCACGCGGTTTCAGAACAGGCTGCTGCCTTGCGAGCCCAGTAGTGGAGACACACCACAGCAGCTGCGGCAGGTTAAAGCTATTTAAAGGCGAGAGCGAGATCGACGCCGTCATGAAAGACATTGTGTGCATCTCAGGCTAATCTCAGCACATGCGCAAAAAGGACACGTCTTCGATGCATCCTGTGCCAAGGATGGTGTTGACGCCTCCAAATATGTTTCAGCTTGCATCCTAAGCTTGCAGTCACTGTTTTCTTTGTTGTAGTGTGGACATCGTCGTCACTCATTGAGCAGCCTCTCCCGTTGGCCTTCGTTTGCCTTTGTCACGAGTGCAATGCGGATGCTGTGCAAGCAGTTTGCGGTTCTGGATGAACGTTTTATAGGCTTCTGCTGGATCTGTTTCTGTCAGTTTGCCCGAGAGATTCCTTGTGAGCTCGCGTGCATCTGGATCGCTTAGGGAGAACCAGGGTGCCTCCTGCAAAACATACATGCATGTACACGCTTAACTGCTTTAGCAGTTGACTGTCCGCACTGAGGAGCTGACGGAGTGCATCCTGGAAGCAGCTGGCACCTCTTTAAAGCTGAAGGTCAGGCACTTCGATTGTTTGGGTTGTCCAGGTAACCTGGTGTGAGGCTCGTTGAACCCTGCCCGAGCCTTCTCTTTGCTGAATGTTGCAGGAATTGAGCGCTGTCAACAAAATTTGCAGTGTCTTGGTTGCATCCCTCCAGATTGCGGCGCTGCTCTGTGAGTGAATTTGTCACTCTCAGCATCGGAATCAGGCAAGCTCAACGCGACCTACGAAGAGCCACAGCCTTGAGCATGTTTCAAAAAAGACACCAACATGCCAACACGACTGCGTTCCGTTTGCATTTTCACTTGCAGAGGTTCGGAGCTCTACTGGGCAAGGGTCTTGTGAAGGCCGGGCACCGACGGCCGAAAGGCATCGCAAAGGCAGTTGTAAAAAGTCTGCTCGCAGTTCATAAGTGAGTTGAGGCCTTCGCCTCAACACCAACTTCAGAGCTCAACAGGAGACGATTCTTGCTCCGTGTCCCAGCTGCAGAGCGAAAGCGAAGAGTGACACGATAAAGATGTGAATGAGTGCCCAAGGTATGTGCGCGGAGTTGTCTCTCATAGAGTGCGCAATAGCCCCGGGACGCCCTTAGCTGCCTTAGCTTGGCATGAGTCAGGGCGAGGTTGCAGCCGGATAGTAACAGCGTTGCAGTGCATGCAGCTTTGTGCCGGCAATTCCCCGAGGTGCAAGCGCCAAAGCCTCTGGTAGAGATTTTCGCAGAGTCGGCTTCCCGATTGTGTTTTTTGTTGTGCGCTTGGGTGCCATTATGGGCATTTGGGGCATCTGCCGAGCTCACTTCTCTGCCCAGATTATGTGACATCTCCGTGCCAGAGGAGCAGGCAGAAGCTCCCATGAGCAAAGCCTTGACTTGGCACTTTGGGACCAGTAGGAAAATGAGGTGGCTGAGCAGGTCACCGTGGGTTGGTATTTGCCGGTATTTGCCCTTGCGAATGACAATTTGCACGCATGCAACCACCGGCAAGCATCCCAGCATGAAGCCAAACTCGCAGCTGGTGACGAACTTCACCATCATCTCCTCGCTCGCGCAGAAGCACGCGGTAAGTTGTCACGAACTTGGCCGGCAAGGTTGAAGTCAATCTTTCAAGATCTTTCAAGTCTCAAGATGTAAGAGCCAGGCTTCAACATAGTTCCGGCAAAGCAACAAGCCTATGCGGAGGCTTTGGGAAAGGACTGGCCATGCCATTTGGGCTTGAACTGGGCGGGGCACGGACGTCAAGTATCAGCGTGGGCTTTGTAAAATAGACGAACCTGAAGTTTGGGCTGCCGATTGAATTGTCGGTGCGCAGCGCAAGGGTTAGTGCCCACCGCAAACGCAGCTCCTTCTTCTTCTTCTTCTTCTTCTTCTTCTTCAGGACTGGCCGGAACGGCAATGTGTCCTAGAAGAGGCCCAGATCTTTCAGTGTGGGCGCAATCTCCAGCCATTTCCTCCAACATCTCCCTGCAAGCATCAATTTGTTGAGGCATCTCGCAGCAAGCTTCAGCAGCTTGTAGTAAATGTCTGGACCCCAGACAGGCAACCCGCTCCCGCTTCCTGTGGCATGAAATGAAGAAACATGCAGGCCTATCAATCAGCTGCTGGGGGTCTCCTTAGAAGTGCCCACGGCAGATTGCTTGAGCAGGCCGGGTCAGCATGTAGCAGCAGCAATGATGGTAAATATGGTGATGTCATGATGTCCGCAAGGGTGCAATTGTAACTGGCCGCAACTGCAGGAGAAAATCAACCAAGCACTGCGTGTGGACAAGGGCCAGGCAAGTGCTGCAGCTAACTTAAGTGGCTTTGAGACAGACCTTGAGATCATGATCCTTTGCGCAGGTGGATGCGGAAAACGAGCAGAAGCATACGCAGCTGAAAGAGGCTTTGCAGAAGATAGAGGCTCTCAAGCTCTTCTACGAGCCTGCTCTCGGAGACCCTGTGTCATGTGTGCTATGCGCAGTCTACACTCACCACCTTGTCAGAGTTCCTGAACCAGACCAGAACTCAGAGGGTTCTCAAGCTTTGCATCTTCCGCAAAGACGTCGTTGTCTGAGGCCCATGCCCACGACAGTGGAGGAAGAGGAGCCCAACGTGCCGCTTTCTGAGGGCATCCAGCATTCTGATGTGCTGCGCTCTGATGGGGTTCTAGTGAACGCAAGGTCGCGCATTGGAGCCGGGGAAAACTCCAAGGACTTACTGTGCCAGCGAGTGCCGCAGCACTCCTCGTTGCGTCTTCATTTTGCACTTCGTCTTCTGTGCATTTCAGGAGGATGTTCCAGAAGAAGAAGAGGTTTTGATTTTTGAGGCCAAGTTAGGCGACTCTTCACTTGCACGGCAAGCGGACCACAACACCAGGATTCGGAGCAGCGAAAGTTCTACGAAGATGTCGTGGACCTGAAGGAGTGGCAAGATATGCACGACCGTGATGGGGTCTGAGATGTGTATTTCTTCACAATGAACAGGACATCATCCCGGCGGTGTTGCTAACATCCGGCAAGGCGGCACAGGACGCGGGAGGCGATGACAAGGACGCAGCATAGGCAAGCATAGACAAACAGAAGCAAGTGTAAGAGCAGTCGACCTACATGCGGAGACTGTGATATCTCGAGATCTCAAGGAGTCCAAGCCAGAGAAGCCGCCTGAAGAGAAGGACAAAAAGGATCTCTCAGCAGCTTCGGAACATGGGGCTGCAAAGAAAACCGTGGCTGTCTGGCATTCTTTAGTCACTCTTCCGTGCGCACGATCAGCAGCTCTTGCGATGGCTAAGGACTTTGACTTGTACCTCATGCGCGTTGCCAAAGCCGAATCGGCGAAGCAGGCCGGCTCACGTAGATGACGACCTGCAATGTCGGATCCCATTCATCCTCGTCCTGGGAGCCTTCTCCACTTTATCATTTGTGACAGGGGATTTGCAGGATAAAATGGAAGGTGAGTCCCGAGGATCAACTCCGTCATATCTTTTTTGTGGGGCATATGCCGAACCAAGTGCCGAACCATGCTGAAATCCTTTTCAGCCAAATGCCGTGGAAGCCACTAGAGACCTCCATAGCTACAGCAGATGAGAAGCAGACACTGCATTCGCTCCAGTGACTCGGTATTGTTGGCAAGACTCGTCACTGGAGGTCAAAGAAGCTAAAAGCGCGTGGACTTGGCGCACGTACTCTGCCACATGCATCAACGCGCACCTTATTGGAGCGGCTCTCGCGCGAAGTGTTACAGGCATCCACCAAATAGAATTCAGCACCTTTGGGATTGATTTACAGAAGCCTTGCAATGAATACGGGGCGACCCTGTGAAAAGATCAAAAACCAAGAGGAGCCGCAGCTACCCATAGTAAGAACATAACCACGACGCCACGGGCCTTGAGAAAGCAAAGTAGAGTAGAGCCTCGTACAAGGTGGATGACATTGTGGTTGAGTGCGCTGCCTAGTTTTCAGGTCGATGCCCCTGCCGCTCCCCCCTCGACTTCCTTCGCTCAGGTTCTTCCACGACTTCAACACAAAAACCAACCGACAACGCCTGGCGGTTTGTTCCTGAGCTGCGCGAGCACAGCTGCTTCTGCAGAGCTCCGCTAGCTGTTGGCCGTGTCACGGAGCGCAGGCGCATTTCTATGGGGCCGGGTTCTTTGTTCGGCAACGAATCTCCGCCCGAGAATTGCTGCGCCGGCATGCAATCTACCGTGGCGTATTTCCGACCTCAGGCTCACAAGACGAAGCAGTCGACTTCTCAGAGTGGCACTGGGCCACCAGGGTTTACCAAAAGCTTTGGCCAACAGCTCTTAATCAAAGCGCCAAACAGGCTGCACCTGCTTGCGCCGTATGCCCGCATGGCGGCCATGATGGGGTCGGGATCCTGAAATTATTTCTGCCGGGGAAAGCAGGTGGGACTTTTGAGATTAATTAGCTCAGCTGCTGCAGGCCGTACGTCAAGGACATACCTCAGCTGCTGATGTCTTGGCTTCAACACGACCTGGAGCAGGCAGGTGACTAGGACAATCTTTCGGACATCATCCCCTTTTTTTGCCTGAGGTCATAGGAGATGCGAACCAGAACTTGCTGGAGCAAAAGGTCTGCCGATGACTTGCGTGAGTACAAGTCATTCCCGTGGCCTGAATTTATCCTGCTTGGTGTTCTCACTACAGAAATAAGTCTCGTGCAGGTGAAGGTGGTCAAGTATTTGTGCGAGCTGTGCAAGCAGCGTGCCGAGACCACATGGCTGTTATCGTGAGCTTCTGATATGGGTGTATTACTGGTGTATTCTTTGGTCGTTGCCGAGCTCTTGAGGTTCAAGATCTGTCCTCCTGGGGTTGTGCTGGACATCTTCAAGGTGGATTGTGGTTGCATCACTGTTGCATCCCGGATCATCTCGCACCAATGCCTCGATCGCATTGTAGACCCTTTGTGACGACTTCAACCAGCAGAACGCGGAGTTGTGTGCGAACCTGCTGCAGTCTGTCACCCAGTCGCACGAATTAGCATGTGGTGTGCAAAGTCAAGCTCAAGGTCCTGTGGTCGCTTCCTCTTGTACAAGCCTGAGACAGTCCCGACCTTAGCCACGCTGGAAGCTGGAGGTTAGAGATGTGCAGTTATGGAGCAGAATTGTCAGGCCATGAGAACGGACAACTTGCTGGAGCGCATGTTTCGACCTTGGACCTCTCCAGTGAAAGTGCGGTGAGTCTCTACCCGAGCACTGCAACATTGCCGATTGTAAGTTTTGGCTCAGGGCTCGGCTGGCAAAGGCAAAGTCTCTACCGCTGAGGTAGCCGAAGGGAAACCGGTAGGCTCAGCCAAGTTCTGCTTAGCCTGCTTCGATCTCGATGCCGTGCAGGCTGGAGATCATGCTGGAAGATGCTTTCTACCAGGTCAAGCCGCCCCGCTCCTGTTTCCCAACTCTTTGCAGCACTTCGCCAAACTGACGCGCACTGCTCAAGGCCCGAAGGGAAGCGAAAGCAAAAGAAGGAGAAGGACCTGCATTACTGTATGCAAAACTCAAGGAGGGTGGCAAGTCTGCCCAGCGGCCCGAACAGGATCCGCTGGAGCAGTTTGTTGAACACCTGGTTTTCGACCGACTTATCCTCGGTTTTGTCTTTTGATGCGCTGGCTTGGCATTGTACTTGCCATATCTCCAGCATGGGCAAGGTTTGTACAAAGAAGAAGATGAGGACAGCCATATGGACAGCCCTGTGATGTTTTCGTCCGTGAGCCTGGCAGTGCGGAACACAAGGATCAACTCCTCAAGCTGGTGCGCAAGCTGCCATGGGACGGTGCCCTCTCGGTATGATGTAGTTAATATTACTTCATGTACTTGTTTCAGGGCCCAGGGGGTTCTTGTTGAGCTTGAAGCATACTTGCAGCACTCGTTGCAGCACTCGTTGCAGCTCCCGTCGCAGGCCCTGCAGTTGGATGGCTGAAGAAATGCCTGCTGGACAGACACGGCGTTGCGTGCTTGTTGCATGTTCCCGCCGGCCACGCCTCATCGCTCCTTCCTGTGCACTTGATTTCAAGAGTACAGTCGCTTCATTTGAGGAGGTGAATATGAGAGAGAGAGAGAGAGAGAGAGAGAGATCCCTTCTGTCGTGTGACCATTGTCTCCATTGTGTTGGTTTACAAGCCTGCGACGTGCACACACTTTTTGCACCGACGAACTCGCTTGAGCACGCCCCTTGGGGCGGCCCCTTCGGGGATCATGTGCAACGGAAGGAAGGAAGGAAGGCTTCCTCTAGGAGGGGTCAGGTGTGTGGAGAGAGAGAGAGAGAGACCTGACCTAGTCGTTGTCGATCTGCCGAAACATCACATCACTTATCCATGTGCCATTTGTGGATATCGTTGCTTTTCGATGCTGGAAGCTTCAACCTTTCTGTTGTGTCAATTCGTTGACAGGACTTAAACCACCATGCCAACTATGAGAACCTATCCTGCGCCGTGTGCTTAGTGCATCCACGAAGTGGTGCAGCGTGAGTCGAAACAGCTGCGGCAACAATCGTTTCAGCTGCAGTGGTAGTGGTAGAGCTCGTTACAGCACCTGTCGGTATGTGCATGTGTCACATGTTAGGTGGCCTCCCTGCTGAGTGGCCTCGCGAAGTACCGCGACGCTTTCGTGATAGACGTAATTGATTCCCTCCTGGAAAACATCCAGGCGAGGATCAGCAGCCGCTGCAGCCTGTATGGCTTCTGTATGGCTCCTGCCGACGTCTAACAGGTAACCCTGGAGAGAAATGACTTTCGAGAGATGCCGTTGAGAGCTCGACCCTTGGAGCTTGGCACCACTTCTTTCCAACTATCTGATTGGTGATGCACCCCTCGCGTCCCTCGCATGTCAGGTTCGACAGATAAAGCTGGTGGGCGAGCTGTACAACTACAGATTGGTTGATTCGGTCTTGGTTTTTGATTGCCTCTACCAGCGACGCCCCCAACCGAACAGAGGGCATCGGAGAGCAAAAGCAAGCACAATTTGTGTACCCACTTTGCGATGTTACTTTGATAGTCGGGCAGAAGATATGAATCGCAGCGCAGCATACCTAAGTGCATTTTTGTGCTCTTATGCTGAGGTTCATTGGCTTTGGTGGGCCGACAGCCCATCGTGCTGGCCAGTTCATCACTGTGGGAGTCTCAGTCAGCTTCTGCAGGAGAACTTAGTTAGCGTAAAAACCTTGCGAAGTTGTCAGGCGCACAAGCTGGTGGAGAAGGCCTTTGCCTCAGACTCGAGGCCAGAAGTGTTCCTAAAGAATTCCCAAAGTTCTTCTAAAAGAAGACTGGGCTCAACTAAGGGCTTGGCGATGAGGAAAGGCGGCCTTGGAAGCATCTCTGAAGAAGTGGAGGAAGGGATGGAACATGATGGAACAAATGCTGCGGCGTTTCAGGCTGTCGTTAAGGCTTTCCAACAGACTGGTCAAGAAGGCAGTGTGTCTCTGAGTAGGACGCCAGGCGTGAGCAGGTACATTGGACTTCAGCCCTCCATGGCTTGGGAAGTTTAGTAGGGTCTACCGTTTACGGCGGCGCATGCCAACATGCCGATTTTGCTTGGCTCAAGAACCATGATGTGTCGGAGGACAACGAAGATGGCGTGCAGTTGCTTCCTTGGCCACCCCGTTTTTGACGTGAAAGATATGAGAAGCTGCGTGTGCATACGGGGGTTGAGCAGAGGCTCCCTGACATCCTCGCAGATCCGCAGCACCCTCTCGAGGCCACATGGCATAAAGCAACTTCCTTGGTGACAGTGACAGTGACAGTGGCAGTGTGGAGGCGCCCTGGGACTTCTTCCGAATCAAATTGGTGGACGGCTTGGATCTGGCATTTTCTTCATTCCTGGTGTAGCGGCACACATCGGCGCTGCAGATGCACGGGCTGCATGTGGAAGTGAGGGGTTTGATTTTGCGGCATTCCAGAGGCAGAGGTAGTCCTAGACTCCTAGACCTATATAGGTGGACGGGCGAAGAACAGCATCCTTACAAGTATTGGAGGCTCCCAAAAGGAAGGCAGAACGAAGTGACTTCCAGCATTTTTTAAACCACCCTTTTTACCATCGCAACCCTTGGGAGAAGCTTCACACAGGAAGTTCGCGAGCTGAGCGGCAGGCATTCTGAACTAGGGAGAGCGGTCGTCTCATGCTTTGCGCCAAATCGGGATATGTCGGGACTGATTTTGAGGCTAATCCTGGTCGATTTCTGGGCAAAAGTACGTGTCCACCCGAAACCTTTTTCAAGGTTGTCGCCGTAAGGCTCGGAAGAGGTATTTTGGGAGAAGTCGGGGCCCCTGATGCTCATGGTCGTTGCCGGGTGAGCAAAAGGGAGGGGTGGCGGGGGAAATATGAGAGCGGCCGGGACTCTTTGTGCAGGTCAGGATCATTTTGCATCTTTGAGTGGCCTTCTGGGACGGGGCTAAAGCAGGCACATGTTTGGCCATGTGAACGAAAAAGGTCCAGGGCCCCTTTTTTGGTCGACTTCGAGGCGCGGGGGCGCATCCGCTCGGACTTTTTATGAGCAGTGGGCGCCGCTGGTGCTCAACATGCTGGGTTGCTAAATGTGCACGGAAAGGGCCCTCTGCCTTTGTGAGCTTTCGCCCCCTCCCTTTGGGCCTTTGGGTGCAAGTTTTCTTCGCAAACCCTGGGCCCTCGGGGCCAAGGTATGTTTCACATCAGCACATCATAGGAGGACACGGAGAGGCGGGACATGGAGGGGGCAAGAGCGGTCGATCAGGTATGCGTTCTCCTTGAGACTTGTGGGCACTATTTCGACCGCGGGGCTGCACCAGCCCTAGAGGATGTCCATTCAATGTTGATCTGCTGGAATGACAGCCAACGACAGCCCCATGGCAGCTCTGCAGCCTTGCCCAGTCCAAGCAGAAGCTCGATCGGTTCTTGACCTTCTTCATACGATACGTCCACAGCAAGGCCACTTGGTGCAAGTCACATGCCAGATTTGGCAGGCGCCACAGGAGATGCGGATTTTTGATGGAGTGCTCTCTCACTCAAATCAGGGTGAATTACCGCAGCGCTTCATGAACATGGTCTATGACACGCTGGAGAGGCTGAGGCCATGGAATGACAAGAATGCCCCACTTGAGTCTTGTTGAGTGTGTTGTCGAGTGCATGTTGAGGTCGCTTTTGAGTGTTTTTTCCTGAGTGCTGCTGCAGTCTCAGGCCCAGGCTTGTCTTTCCAGAGCTACAGGCAGATGCAAACGAGGCAAAGCGGCCGTCTCTTGCGATTTCTCTGTAGGCACTGTGCTCAAAGGTCGATTCGTGAAGTGCTTCTGTTTTAGTGTTTCCGTTGGCGTTGGCGAGGCCGTGATACGCCAGCTCGACAAGGAGAAGGACGACATTGACGTCGGAGGTGAGAGTAGCTGAGAGCACTCGCTGAGAGCACTCGGAGAGCCATTCTGTTGAGAGCGGTGTTGGACGGCCCGGTAATCGGCAAGATTCGGCAAGGTGGCAATGCAGACGAGCAGGATGATGACGAGGAGAGCATGTAGAACAGCACCACATTTTCTGCGAGACCAGTGAGAAAAACGGCCATTGAATTTGAATGGGCCAATTGAGGACACAAATTGCTCGTAGTAGAGCCAGGATGCCAGATGAAGAGTGTGTCCCAGAGCCAATCGAAGGATGAAGATGAGAGCTCAGATGAGGACGACAGCGGTTCCGTTGCAGCCTCAGATACTCACTGACTCACTGACCAGTTCGATCACGGATGGAGAGCCCGAAGCGCTGAGGACGATGGCGAGGAGTCATCTGAAGAGGCCCATGACGATCAGCAAGTGTTAGCACATCAAGCCTGCCTCAATGCCAGAGTTGCCAGCGCATCGCCGGGGCTGAAAGCTTGCAATTTCTGGGAAGGAGTCGGGCGAGGAAGAAGACAGTGAGTCTGATGATGACGAAGCCGAGCTGCAGCCTCATTTTCATGTCTGTAGGCAGAACTCAGGTCCCGCAGTGACGCAGATATGTCATATATATATATATATATTCACAGACACATATGCACGCAGTGACATCTTGTGCTAGGTACGACAGAGGAGATGATGAGCAGAAGTTCACTGCCCGGATGTGAACACTCATTTGTGTGCTGACAGGGGGCATGCGTGGCGTGAGGTGCGTGGTGTTGGGACTCAGGCATGCTGCAGAGGATGACTTTGACAAGGAGGCAAAGTGTAAACGACAACAATTTGGGCAAAAAGCAGCTGAGATAAAAAGCAGCTGGGATGAGCTTAGCAAAGTGAGGTGCAGGCAATTCTCATCGAGTCACTGGAGAAGGAGAAGAATGCACCTCGCGCACTGTGCTGCACTTGGAGAGCTTACAAAATGCCGTGTTCCGATAATTTGCTTTGCCTAGAGGTCCGAGTTGCCACCTCCCACCGTCATTGCAAAGAAAACCGAGCAGCTTGGGGAACACTCCTTGGACTCCTCGTCTGGGTTTTCCAGCGACATGTTGTCAAGAAATGTCAAGAAATGTCAAGAATGGTCAAGATGTCACGTCCTCCTGTCATAAGATGTTCCCCAGAACTGAGGAAATGCCGCTTGGACAGTTCAGCTTGTTGCAAAAGTCGGCCGCCTAGTCAGTGTGGAGAGAGTCAGGTTGCGTGGCCTGCCTGCGCTTTTACGACTGAAGCGCAGGAAAACGGGCGGCAAAATCTTGTCCAAGCAGCTCAGCATTCCAGATGATTCCAAACTGCTCAGAGTCCGCGGCTCATCTATGGCCGTGCCGCACTGTGCCACAAGGCTGGTTGTTGTTGTGGGGTTTGCATCTGGCTTGCCGACAAAGACAGGCCCGCCAAGAAACCGTTGAAGAAGCTTCACGCGAACGTGAAGACCTGAAGAGGCAGGGAGGAGCTGGGTATTTACAAGAATGCGTCAATTGCGCTAGTCTGGGATGTGGGCGCGCTTCCGTGCCGGATATGTTCTGGACACTGGTTGCCTTGATTCTACCAGGTTGCTGGTTGCATGCGCAGTTCCAGTGCTTTTCGTTAGGCCCAAGCTTTGCAACAGGGAATGGGGAACTACACTAGTTGGAATCAAGATGAATCATGAAATCATAAAAGGGAAAGATCGACCGACAAGTGCATGTGGTCGAATGAGATCTTAGTACAACTACCGATAGGAAAGCACTCAGCAATGAAGAGCTGTGGACAACTTCGATTGGTATTCGCGCTTTTGAAATGTGTAGAGCATTTTGGTGGGGATTCTCTGCAATGCTTGAGCATGTCTGCAAAAGAAGACCATCAAACATTTCTGCCGCATGCTTTATAAAGACAAAGATGCTGAACATTCCAGTCCTCACCCCCCTCACCCTCCCTCCCCCTTGCCTTCCCTCCCCTTTCCCCCCTCCCCTTTCCCCCCTCCCCTTTCCCCCCTCCCCTTTCCCCCCTCCCCTCTCCCCCCCCTCAACACCCCTCACCTTCTGGCCCAGCACCCCCCCGCACCCGCCCTCACTCGCCCTCGCCCGATTCCTGCGGGCTGATGTGCAGTTTCCTGGTTTCTGATGCGCAATTTCTGCATCGCGCTGGTTTCTGGATTCGCGGCTTCTGATTCCAGTTGCTGATTCGCAGTTTCTGCGCATCCGAAACCTGCGCGAATCTGAAACTACGAATCAGAAACTGCGCACCAGAAACCCGCGAAGAAGTCTCCATGCCTCAGAATTGATGTGGCGGCGAAGCTGGGTCGGGGGCAGAGGTCGGGAGGATTTAGGGCTTGAACGTTTATGCAAAAGGGGTCTGGGGTTTTTGCAAAACGAGTTCTTGCACTTTTTCAGCTTCAAGGCGATGGCTTTCCCGCTTTCCGAATCATCCGTTTAATGGTTCAGCCGTTTTGCCGGTTCAGAATCCGCCTGGTGCCGTTTCCGATTTATCCGTTTCGGTTTCCGATTCAGCCGTCGTGGTTTCCATCCGCCGTTCTGGTTTCCGATTCAGGCTGCTTTCCGATATTACCGTTCTGGATTACCCCTCCCCACCCCTCTCCACCCCTCTCCACCCCTCTCCACCCGTCTCCACCCCTCTCCACCCTCTCCACCCGTCTCCACCCCACTCTCCACCACCCCCTCCCCTCACCCCCCTCCCCCCTCTTCCACCCCTCTCCACCCTCTCCACCCCTCTCCAACCCCCACCACTCTCCACCCTCTCCACCTCTCTCTCCCCCTCTACCCCTCTCCCACCCCTATCCACCCCTCCATCCCCCGCCCTCCACCCCTCCTTCTCCACCCTCTCCACCACCCCTCTCCACCCCTCTCCACCCCTCTCCACCCCTCTCCACCCCTCTCCACTCCACCCCTCCACCCCTCCACACCCACCCAACTCCCCAAACCAAAACACATCGTCGTCCCACCCACCCACCCACCCCCACTCCCCCAACCAAAACACATCGTCGTCCTCGTCGTCGTCCTCGTCGTCGTCCTCGTCGTCGTCCTCGTCCTCGTCCTCGTCCTCGTCCTCGTCCTCGTCCTCGTCCTCGTCCTCGTCCTCGTCCTCGTCCTCGTCCTCGTCCTCGTCCTCGTCGTCGTCGTCGTCGTCGTCGTCGTCGTCGTCGTCGTCGTCGTCGTCGTCATCGCAAAAAGAACAGTCGACGTGAAAAACGAACCCGTGCCCGGCGAGAACTTCAAGCTTCGATTGATGTCTTCCTTGAGAGGTTTGTGATGCAGTACGAGGAGACCGGAGCAGGCACAGCCTTGGTAGCGACTTCCTGCGCTGGCGGAGCATACCCGCGCAGTTTGCAGGCGATGCCACAGGTTCGGTGATACCAATTACAGCGCTGAGCCTAATGTTGCTTCGTCTCCACCGTTGTGTGAGCACGCATCTGCTCCCCTGGCTTTTCAGAGCTGTTGCACGAAGTGTGCTGCCATGGGGGCATGCGATCATACTGTCATGTTCGACGTCCGTATCAGAAATCTGGTAGTTTTGGCAAGGGGCTCCTTCAGGAAAACACTTGCAACAGCGAGGAGTAGGGACTGCGTAGTGAGCAGTGTTGAAGCAGAACACTCGTCGCTGACATGGCGAGCCATGGGCCATTGCTCTTCGCACGGCTGCCAAACCGAGCTGTGCGACCGCAGAGCGACATGTAATGTTCGTGTCTTGCATTCAACTTGGCGGAATCCCTGCACAGAAAGCAAAACGGGACAAGTGGCTTCGGCAGAGATGCTGAGGAAGAAAGTCAGCATTGGACGCAGAGAGTTTGGAGCAGACGGCAGAGCAGAAGAAAGAGGAGGTTCGAGTCGGAGTCACACGATGTCGTGCTCCAAGTCAATTTATCGGAAGACTGATTTTGCGACTTGCGCAGGATATTGATGGCCTCGGTGATGAGCTACCCAAGGAGCTTGCGGGCGCAGTGTTGGCAGCTACATCGTCCACGGTTCGGTCTTCGTTGTCGTCAATTCGCAACAGCAGGATCCTTAGAAGATCTTTCAAAGCTGGCTGTCGATTGCGGGTCCTGAAGTTGGAGTCGAGCCGTCGCTGAAACCTTCAGCTCAAGCCCGCGATAACGAGAAACCGTTTCGAAGACCACCTCCGCTGAAAACACGCTGTCGATACTAGCCCACACACCAGCATCACGACACGCCGCCGCACAAAGACCAGCGATGTAGTTGGCGAGGTTCAGACTCTTTTGAAAACCTTGCCTTACGCTTATGCCCTATCCATTGAGCCAGCTAGGGTCACACACGCCAGCGTCACGGGACCCTGGAAACTCAGAGACCCCTCCAACCCACCGCCCCCAATGCCAGGCCAGAGGCCAAGACTCAGGCAGAGAGCTCTCTGACATTCGTCCGCCACCGTCGCTGCTACCGCTGCCACCGCCGCCCCCACCACATCTATCTGACGCTGAAGTTCCGCTCTTGTGCAAGCAAATGATGTTCCCTGCTGACTAGCTCCAAAAGACTAGCGCGAGGAAGGGGTTCCTTCCAGTTCTCCTTAGGCAGGGAGAGAGAGGAGAGGGAGACGACTGCGCAGAAGGTGTCGCGCAGTTGCACGACATGGAGGCGAAGATCAGAAAAGAAGGCCTGGCCGAGGCACCCAGCCAGGCGGGTTCATTCCTCGTCCACACATGCTGCTGCACTTCATTAAGCAAGCTCTCTGGGTACTGCTGAGAGGAAGAGTTCTTTATCCCACCGGGAGAGCCATGGGAGATTTGCCAGTCCAAGACAAGTGGAGGCCCGATGCGGCGCAAAGACTCTAAGCTCTGCTGTGCATGCCATTGGTCGGGATTCGTCGGGATTGGTCCGCCTCCGCGGAGGTTCAACTCCGAAAACGTCTGCATCCTTGGAACCCGAACCTGGTGGTCCGAAGATCCGCCTGGCAGGTCGCTGCTGGTGTGCTTCCATGTGATTCCTCTCCTGCAACTTTTGAGTGTTTGTGATTGATGGCTAGTGCCATGTGCGTAGGAAGATTCCCGGTGTTCCCAGATGAACTCCTACCACCAGAGCTTCTTGCATGAACAGTATTTAGGGATTGGTGGAATTTGGCAGCCAGGTCCTTTTGGCCCCACATGTCCTCTTCCCCACGTTTATCGGCTTGCTGAGGGTTTGCAGGGCCCGAGCCATGAAATGCCAGCTGAGGATTGTTCCTGCACCGCCAATGGAAGAAGACCTTCCGCAGGATGCTGAGACCCCAGGGGCAACAGGCGAGGTGCTGCCAGGCGACTCGGCCCAGGGTCATTGCCTTGCCTTAGACGTTCTAACCACTTTTTCAGCGGGTAAGAACAAAGGTAAGCTAAAGCGTGCCCGAAGCAACCATGAGGCCCAAGCCCTTATACTGATACCAACTTGTATCCCAGAGGTAGTACTTGACGAGAGTGACCCTAATTAGTGGCCAGCGGTAACAGCACATTGTAATCATTGTAAGCACCAAAAACTCAACGTGTCTGAGTGCAAAGCTTGACCTCGAGGTTTGTGACTTCTCAAGCCCAGTTTCGATAGCTGGGAAAGTTCTAGATGCCATGCTCGGTATGCGGCGATCAAACTAAGGCCACGCGGACCGCCCTTCCAACACGGGGAGCTGACAAATAGAAAAGATTTCGTCTCACAGCAACGGGCTCTGAGCCGCAAGGGGCATCGATGGCTAAATTCGCCTCGAAGTTCAGCCGACTTGCTGGCTTTCGAAAGATTGAGTGCGAGCACATGGGTCTGCACTGTGCACTAGTAACAGCTGCCTCAGGATGGAGGCACTCGTCAAACACAGAGTGTAGTTGCAAGCGCTTCGTTCTGAGCCCTGGTTAGACTGGTTAGAGGGCGCGAGACCAATTCGTAGTGGGTGGGCCAGAGGCATCGACGAATGGCCGTACCGATCTTCACAGTGCTTCCTGATGTTTCTGCCTGGTCCTGGCATGAGGTGCGCACCAGAGCAGGGAAGGGCGGCCGCAAAGGAGGTTCCCGGTCGAGGTCTTAGTTCTACTTGCGCGACTTTACGACCACTGGGCACGAACCTGCAGAGTGCGCAGAACGCAGTGCTCGCAGAGACATGCAAGGCGTGACGGGGAGTACCTCAAGGAGTTCGGGGATTGGAAAGCCGCTGCACGCAGCATCATGGCTGTCTTTCGCTGCGGCCGCCTCTTTCTTCGAAGGAAGAGCTGACGCCCGAAGAGTCCCGACCAGAGCCATCAGGCATCATGATGGGAGGCAGGTCGCAAGATGCATTCGACTTTGGGGTATCAATGAAGGTGGTTTCTCAATGTTTCTCATGGCAATGCTGGCGTGCGTCGTGCATGCCACTGGCTTGCGAGGAGGAATCGTTGTCCGATATGCCAGCAAAGGCAAGGGGAAGGCCAATCGGCTTCGGTGTAGCACTGGCGTAGCGTTAGGCTTCTTGCTGGCATGCTCTGGCATGTGAGTTCTCTTTCAGGCAAGCGGTCCGCACCTCAGGTGCTGCGGGCTCTTGTAGCATAAGCCGAGACTTTTTCCAAGAAGCAGCTCACAACGACAAAGTCAGTCTTGTTAGTTTTGCAAGGGAATGGCAGTCCAAGCTACGGCAACCCGTGCATGTGGTATCTCACAGGGGCAAGTGATGTCATAGTCTCATGGGGTTCTTCTGCTACAGCATGAAAGGGAATGAGGCCGAGGGCTTTTGTGAAACGATGGCGAACCGGCCAAGCATCCATATACTTGCTGACCCCCTCTCCGAAAAACACAATGAGCCAAGATGTTTGGGATCAATTTTGGTGCCCATCCATACCATCTAGCTGCGGGAACGCTGGATGAAAAAAATCCTTTCCGCGTCAAGAGATCCTGGGCAAGGTCTCGGAACTCCTCAATCATGAGTGCCTGTGTGCCTGAGTGCTCGAGTGCCCGAGCTTTGCTGGAGAGTCTGGCTGAACCGGTCAGAAGAGCCCTGAAAATTGAAACAGCAGATCGTAGTGTCGTAGTAGCCGTAACTCTGAGCTTGTGTCCGGAGACCCTCAGCGGCTGCCACAGTCTCTCGTATTTTTTTGACTTAATATACTGACTTCTTGAGCAGGCAGAGTGCCGCCGCTGACTCTTTTCTGTGTGCAGGTGTGTGCAGGTGTGTGCATGTATGTGTGTGTGTGTGTGCGTGCGCGTGTAAAAGTCATTTGAAGCTTTTTGACGCCGCAAAGAGTTGGCAGCCTCAAGCCGTTTTGTTTTGCGACCCCACTTGATATAAGCGTTTTGCACCTTGGGCTTGGTGAGCTTTTCTTTGCTGCCAAGGCTTAGGGGCATGATTTTGCGCAATTGCTAGGCAGCTTCGCGGAATCGTGGCATCGTGCGAATATCCTTTTAGGGCACGCCCCGTTTTTTTGGGAGAAATTGGTTTGGAATGGCTTTGCCAGGCTTATCATCAGGCAAGGGGAAGCAGCTCCGATCTCAACAAATGAACTTGCTATCGAGCCCGGCACCCCGAGAAAATTCAGGAAACCCAAAGCCATCCAGGAGAACATTTTGCAACCCCATGTTGGTCCAAGTTCAGATAGAATCTGCAATTATGGAAAAAGCACCTTTCATTCTGATCACAGCTGAGGCAAGGGTAAGAGTAAGGGCTCAGCGCCAGCGAGGCTACCCGCGCAGGGAGCTTATTTTATTTCAATGAACATGTGCTGGCTTCAGTTTGAAGTTGCTTGCTCTCGTCGTTCTCTTCTGACACGGTATGAGGCGTGGCACGCCGAGCGATGCGCCAAAGCAAGAGCTGTTCTTGTCTCAGCTGCATGGCATCTCTTGGTCACTACTCCCCCCCAATAATGTGGAAGCGAGGTGAAAGACTTCGTCCGCGCAATGTTCCAGAACTGGGGCTTGTGGCTTGGATTGCGGAGCGCAAACTTGTAGATCGCTGTGATGTACGTGCATGTGCATGCAATATCATTTGGATTTGCCCCAGCTCGCCTTGACAGCTAAATCGCCACATTGACAAAGAGCAGTGGCATGTGTAGTTGACCGGCCAAGCGCTGAAGTTTACATTCACCTGAGAAAAGAATGTACAGTATCACAGATTTAAAAAGGGTTGCATCACGTGCTTCTTTCCTGCAGTCCTTTGGCTGGAAGCGACGACAATGTAGTGACTTTCAGGGCTTGCTGAATCATCCGCGCTGCCTCGGCCTTGAGCTCCAGTCCTTCGTGCTGTTCATGTTTCATCATGTTTCTCATTCTGTGCGTGGCCTGAAGACAAACACCGAAAGAGGCTTGAGCCGCTAGAGCCTTTGGGCCTTTCGCTTCATGTCCAACGAGGAAGGCGCGGTTGGATTGTACTCTTGTGCACTCGAAGAGCACGGCTTCGCGTAACGACCTGCAGGCACAGGCAATGACTCCACGGTTCCTTTGGCGGCAGTCAAGAAAACATGTCGAAACATGTCGAAACCGTTGGTTGGGGTAATTGAAAAGCTGAAAAGCTGCGAGAGCAAAATCATCAACATGAGTCGGGCTGAGGTGCCCCTGGCCGTCAATGAGGATGAGCTTGAGGAAGGTAGTAACTTCTTGGCAGCTGCCTTGTTTGGAAGAAGTGGGTGTCCAATAGAGTCCAGTGCGTGCAAATGTGTCCATGTTTGTGCATCTCAGAGCACAGCTGAGGTGAAAGACCGTTCGTGCTTCGGCTGCATCTCTGCATGTCCGAGCCTCCAGCTGATCATCTCATATTGATCATCTCCATCTCTGCATCGGTAGTGCCCCGTGTCGTTGCTGCAAAGCCCCCACCCTCAAGAGCAGAGCCCGCAACCCCTTCGCCCCCCGTCCCGAGGAACACCTTCCTTTCCTCCATATGCACTGATTCGAAAACCTATATTTCCGTTTTTTTCTGAGATGGAAAGCATTGAACCTCCACTCCCAGAGGTCAGACTTAAGAGGTTTTCCTTTTCAGAGACAGAGGAAACGGAGGTTTCCGAATCAAGTCCACAAGTCGGCTTTTTCGACCTGCCTCTTTGCATCTCCGAGCCTCGGCTTTGCTTCTGCTTCTCATGGCTTCTCCGACACGTCGGGCAGGTGCACAGATTCGTGGTGCATTCTGGTCTTCCTGGCAGCTTTCGCGGCCTTTGTCTTCGTGACATTCCTGGGTCTACAGGACAGCTATGAGACAGCTGCATCATCTGCAACGAAGGGTATCGATGTGGTATTTTACGGAAAAGTGCAGAAAAAGACCTTTGCAAGCACGTGACAGGATGGCGATCCTCGAAAGCTTTATCTGCCGCGTGATTACAGCGGCAGCTACTGCGATGCTGATTCAAATTGGGGGACAGGCTACAAGCTGAAGCATGGCTGCACGTCTGGTTGCATGTTCAGCGAGCGTAGCTAGGTGTGTAGCTGCACCGAAGCGGCCGTCAGCAACTTCAACTTCAACTTGGGGAAGAGGAAATAATTGAAAGAATCTGTCATTTAGGCCCTATCAGCAGCCTGAGCAGTGAAGAACACCAACAGCAAGTCAGCATCAAGCATCACGAAACGTTTCGCAAAGGCAGGGCTTCCCTGTCCTCAGCTACACAATGAATGTCACGCGGCTCCGCAGCACTGAGACCCTGGGAGCGTTCTGAGAGAAGGCTGGAGGAGGCATCACGAGGCTTTGGATCGTTTTCCAGGTCCACGACGGACCTCGTCGTCAAAGAATTGCATCCTGGTCAATATTCAGCTAGTGCTTCTGGCTTTCAATTGGGCGTGATGGGCCGCAAGTCGTTTCAGGATCTGCTCGTATGCTGCCCGTGATGCCCTGGTTGGCGGCTCCACTCCCTTGCTGACCTCTGTGTCCGAGCAACAGGCGCCTTTCCGGCAGTACTACCAAGTTTCAAGAGCGGACAACTCTGCCTGAACGGCACGCGCGAGTACTTGTCAGCGGCCGAGGCATACCTGTGCCACTGCTGCCTTGCGCCATGTGCCAAATGCACTGGCAGTTACAAGACGACGAAGCTGAAAAGTGGAGGTGTTCAGGTGTGGAGTTGCATGTGGCGTGTTGACACGGGAGACCGCTTGCGCTACTTAGTGATGAACCACGAAGGGTGTTATATCTGGCAAGATGTCGGAGATTACTGGTGTGGGCGGGGATCTCTTCAATCCCAGTGGTTTCAACAGCCTCTTGGCACGGCAGTTCTCTGCATGCTGGGGATTTACGTCACTGTCCCAGCTCGCAGCACGATGAGGTGATTTCTTCACGAACATTTGGAGCGAGGCCACAAGGTGACTCACACCCAGGGCTGGGGTTGATTTTGCCGATGCTCGGAAAAAACAAGTGTTTCATAAATTTCAGAAGAGCAGGCTCAGGACTCTCAGAAAACCAGCTGCGCGAACTGCGCGAACCGGAGAAAACACTTAGTTGAGCTGTTTGATTGATCAGGAGGTACTGAAAACAGCACAACGTAGCCACACGCTAATCACCAACGGTGGAAGTGGTTTCAGCCACTTTGCCGTGGGAAGGTACTTCAACTTGGTTTGCCTTCCGGACTGTGACACGCTCCTTGGAAGATGTGGGATTGCTCAATCGGTATTGTAGGACAGTGAGCACTTCAACTTAGACTTTGTGTGCAGAGCCTGATCACAGCTGACATCCTTCAAATACCTTCCATGTCGGGCACTGTAAGTAAGCGTACATAGCGCTTGGCCTGTAGAGACACAGGGGCTTTGCTACGCTGAATGGCACCAATGACGCTCGACGATGGATCTATGAAATGGCCATGAGCTCAACGCCTTCAACTCTCAATGTGAAGTCTCAACACGCATGCCATCTTTTATCATCTTTCCTTCCGAACTAAGGCACCCGACAATCCCCTCTCGCCATACTGGGCCATGTGCCTTGACTCGGGCTGATCATCAACGATCAGAGGGTCACGTTGCGGAGCTCTCATGCCTCCTCTGCCAGGTTGAATACTTCTGGACCGCCCGAAATCCAGGCACAACTGCCCAGTTGCAATGTGCGGAAGTCTATGCCTGTTTTATGCATGTAGGTTTTCCTGGATTGTGCTTGTCTCTCGCCTCTCTACCTGTGAGAGGCCACCATTGCGTCCGCTTTTACCTTTACAGCACTTCCGGCGTCTCTATGTGCCTACCCTGCTTCGAGCCATAGCAGAAGCATGAAAGCCAGCAACCACATCTGTAGTTGAGGAAAACCATGGCAAGTTGGTAGCCCTACGTTCTCAGGAAATGCATACCGATGCCTGGCGTGCAGCTCACTGCGGGCATGTGGCCTGACAAGCCCAATAGTGTAAATCTATGTTCGCAGCACTTGAAAGTGTGCAAGATTCTGCAAGATCGTGCAAGTGCGAGAGGGAGGCAGGGAGAGGGAGAGAGCGAGAGAGTGAGTGAGTGATTGAGTGAGTGAGGCAGTCCCCAAACTTCCCGAAGTATCGCGCGGCTAGGCGGGGTCCGGGTTTGCCTTCTTCAAAGGTGTTGAGTCGTTGAGCAAGAGAGAGGTGTGGCCGGAAGGAGGAGGGTAGAGCAACATGGACAGGGCCTGAGCCACACCCTTGAACTAGTAACCCTCGAAGCCACAGCCACACCTTTCAAGAAGAAAAGGGCGAACCATAGCTTAAAGAAGCTTTCGCCATTTGTGAGTGTCCGCCCAATTTGAAACAGTGTCTGTTGTGGGGAAAGAAGGAGGGAGCAAGGAAGGGAAAAAGAGAGAGAGAGAGAGAGAGAGAAAGAGAACACAAACCACTATGCTGTGGAGGGGTGCAGGTATACCGTTCACTCGAGGGAGCAGTCGCGGGGTAGGGTAGGAGGTGGCTATGGTATGGGATTGTGTACGGGTCGGCTCCTAAAACCGGGGAACGGTCCTTCCGTAGTACCCTGTAACGCGCGCCTTCGGGCGGCCTCCTCCAATGGGGGGAGGTTAGGTGCCCAGGAAAGAGAACATCAGAGACTCCGGCTGTTTGAGTTGTTCGTTTTTGTGCTGTCCAAGGCCAGGGCATTGCAGCGGCATCCTCAGCGAATTATCGCCTGGCTGTGGCATTGCCTTGCAGTAGGGTAATGTCGTAATGGGGTTGGTGGCCATATCTGCGTATCTGCTACTCCCCACTCCCACTCGCGCCCTATCAAACAAGAAGCGCTGGTGATTGGCGAGCGGCGAAGCAACTTAACAGCCTTACCGAGAAACTTGTGAATGAGTGAATGCGCGGCCTCTTCGGATGTTTAGCTTTTGCTGCCTCCTGAGCGCCTCAAACACTGGCCGCCGCAGAATACCTGAGGATTCTAGTGTGCTCAAGACTAAGAAACAGGACCGGATTATACACATGAGCTGGAAACCCACCGTGAAAACCGATGAAATAAGCAGGGAGATAACCCACCCTCTCAGTGCTGCTCCCCACAATACACGAAAGATTTCAACAGCAACCTGTAGAAGCCTACCACTCGATGTAGAGGTGTCTCAGCAGCGCAGCCGATTCATTGTTACTCAGGAAAGGCCTGCAGCAGCATTTTGGCTCACCCCACACACATTCGAAGAAGAAGAAGAAGAAGCAGAAGCCGGAGGAGGAGGAGGAGGAGGGGGGGAGGAGGAGGAGGAGGAGCAGGAGGAGGAGGAGGAGGAGGAGGAGGAGGAGGAGGAGGAGAGGAGAGGAGAGAGAGGAGGAGGAGAGAGAGGAGGAGGAGAGAGAGGAGGAGGAGAGAGAGGAGGAGGAGAGAGAGGAGGAGGAGATAGAGGAGGAGGAGAGAGGGAGCAGCAGGCAGCAGTGCCAATGCAGGCTTGCAGCAAAGATCACGATCTTTCAGATCTCCGATAGCAATTCTAGCAAGCGCCCCGCAGAGACCGCAGCAGCAAGCGGATTGAGATTCCATTCGTTGGGGAAGACGCTGTACGGTATCCCGAACCTGTCCTTGTCTCGGCGGTGGGTAAGAGGGAGGCGATTGGTGAGTTGGAGTGTAGGCCTACTTCTGGTGTTGTGTAGGGTTCTGAGAGGCGCGAGACAGAGAGAGGGAGAGATAGAGACAGAAAGATGGACAGAGAGATGGACAGAGAGAGAGACGGAGAGACAGAGAGAAAAAAGAGAGCAGAGGGAGAAGGGATGGGGGGGAAGGCAGGAGGGAGGAGGGAGGAGGTGGGCGGGAGGCGGGGCATCCATCCAGTAGTTTGATGACTGTAGACCCTGTAGACACTAGGGGCTTGATCGATTGCTTTACTATCAGAGGTGGGGCAAACAGCCCAAGCCGACCTTTCTCCTCCAGCGTAGATCGGCTTGTTGGCACGGGGGGGCGGGGGTGGGACTGCAGACCGACCGAAACTGCGCTGAGCGGGGACCTCGACACGTCTCGACACCTAAACAGCGGGAAAGAAGGAGGAGATCATCGATCGAGAAGAGTAATAAGAGCAAATATGGCTGAGGACATGTATGTAAAACAATATAGGTCTAGATACATGTTAGATGTCCATGAGCACCCTCCAGTGCATTCTTGCTTCTGAAAGAGCACTTGTGAGCTTGCGGGGTTGTCATGCCCCAAGAATGAGGCGAGTGGTAGCAATTGAACGAAAACATACGAACACCTGCGGCGCGCATTTGGGCACACGACGTGCGTGTGCGCGCGCTCGCGCGCGCGCCATGTAAGATGGCAGGGTGCAAGAACATGATTTTGTCGCTGGGCGCGCCGAAACATGGGCGATGTGTCCGGCTAAACCAGGACCGTGGGCTGGAAATGTCCCAGCCCTGAGCTCAAACACTGGGCAAGTTCCCTCCTGAGCAGCTGCAAGGCCGAACGCTCTGTAGGTTTACTTGACCTGCACGACAAATCGCAAGACCATGGCCGCAAAGAGATGTAGATGTGAACCGCAAGCCGCAAATGGGGTGACGAGCCGACAAGCTCAAAGCTAGGGTGGCTGGAGCATGAGTTGAACAAGAACATTGCAGGTTGAGAGCTATGCACTGTGCACCGTTACACCGTCGGCCCTCCCCCAGGTTTGGGTTTGACCGGCGCTGTGCAAGAACAGCTTGGAGCTGCATTGTCCGATGCATTTGGAAGTGTGGGTTCTGAGGCCGATTGAAGCAAGAAAAGCGTGCTTTTTCAGTCTCGAATCTTGCCTGTGGCAGGCTTTTCAAAAGGAGTTCGCTTCCTTCCAAAACTTCGGAAGCCTTTTCGGGGAAGCGTTCAAAACAGGTGCTGCGCTGGGCGATTTACTGTTGGTATGTTGTCCGTTGTCGAGGCTTGAGTTATCCTGTTGAAACAGGTGATACATTCGTCACGACCGCAGCACCCCGGTGGCGGATGGCTGCAGCTTTTGAAGATTTGTGGTGGTTGTTGCGCTCGTTGTCCTCTTCTTCGCGCTGCATACCTACGCGAGGTGTCGTGCTTGATCATCGGCTTCGCTTACATCCTTCTCCTTCGCTTTTTGGTTGGTATTTGCTGCTTGTCTGCATTGGGCTGAGCTTCGCCAAGCTGTGCCAAGACAGCCGCAGACATCCGCAGACCAAAAGCCTGACAAGAGAAGACCATGCCATTTGGGCCGTGCCAGTACAGCCGAATGTAGCCCGTCCCACCTTGCAACCCAGCATCCTTGATGCCCTGCTTGTTAGCAGATAGCATACATTCTGAAAGTTCGCAGGGGGGTCAGGATACTCAGGAGCTAGCAGCAACGGGACCAAGTTAAGAGCCCATTGAAACCTTTGCAGACTCTGGCGGGTCGGTGACAGCTATCACGGGATTTATGAGGATTTTGTTCTTCATAGTGGTGTCTCATCTTAGTCTCATGCCACGTTTGCATATAAGCTTGTCGCGAGTCCTTAGGTGTGTGGACAGCGCTGTTCGCAATGTGCTTTGGCCCGCATTGCTTCTTCCCTTTGCTCCGAGTAACCCTCAAGACTGAATTTAGTGAAGGGGCGGATGCTTCCGCTATGCGCCCCGGCCCGTGCTCGAGGATGGACGTGGAACTGGGAGGTTGGCGTTGGTATCTGGGAAGTACTTGTGTGTGGGGGATGTGCACTTGCGGTGTTAAAGTGATTTAAAGCCAAGAGCGCAAGTGTAGAAAGAGGTCTTCGACCCCTGGAGTGTTGTTGGCCTGCCTTGCGGGGCGCGTCTCGCCACCCGCACTTCCAAAACTTCGCAAGAACCTAGTTGGCTTCGTGCTGATGCCAGCTATGCCCACCAGTTTGCGGTTCCATTCGTATTCTCAGCTCACTGTTCGCTCTGCTACATCCCACTTGATGCTCATGAAATGAAGGCCACTCATGGCCCAGAGCATCTGCTGCAATGGCCACGCAGAACCTGCCGTCCGCTGGTCCAAATCTTTTGCAGAGGATGACCTCTTCAATGGCCGGGTTGGTATTGACAACGCACCCTCACGAGAAGAAAGCTGACCTCGGGTTTGTGAGGGGCCTCTCTGGAAAGCTAAAGGGTCCGGTCGCCTGAGGCCTGGGGCAGGGAAAGCCGAAGACCTCGTGGACTTTAGTAGACACATGGGAGAAGACATTGCCCATATTTGCCCGTTGTCAATCTAATCTAATTTGGTTGTTGACGCTGCAAAGGCTTCTGCTGTTTGCTTTGGGTGGCGGTGTGGTGTATGCCAGCTCAAGCCCGACCCTGAGTGCAAATGATAATTTTCCAGCGTGCTGATTTCGCTGTGGCTACGAGCTGGGGCTTGAACCTCATTTCTTTGGCACAATTCCAGAGCCCTCGCCCTGTTTCAGGCCAGTGCCAAGGAACAGATTTACTGGATACGTCATATGAAATGGCCGTGGCTGCGGCCACGCTCCTTGTTCGCGTTGAGCGGTTCACAGGAATCTGCTTGGTTTTATCGAGGGTTAGGGCATGAAGGGTTTGGGGTGTTGATGGTGCAGACTATTTCGTGCTTAAGGGTCGTGAGGGTTTAGGGAGTTTAGGGTTTGGGGTCTTGAGGGTTTAGGGCATTTACGGGTTTAGGGTCTTGGGGTTTTCGGGTATTTAAGGCTTTGAGGTGTTCATGCTTTTCGGGCAGCTAGGGGGACTTGACGGTTTAGGGTATTTAGGCTTCAGGGTATTGAGGCTTTGGGGCATTGCAGGTCTTACAGTATGAATGCTTCAGAGTATTGAGGCTTTTGGGTTTTCAGGGAGGGTAGGGAGAGTTTAGTGTCGTTTTGTTTTTAGGTTTCAAGGCATTGAGGGTTCAGGGTATTTAGGCCTTTAGGCTTTAGGGTCTTCAGGGTTTGGGGTCGCGGGCCAGCCCTCGGAGTTGGGCTAGCTAGCTTTCGTTGGCCGCGGCTTGCCCCTCCAGTTACAGTACCGACAAGCTCGTTTCGGATCAGCCGCTTTCTGCTTTCTGTTCCGAGTGGCCATGCCTGGATGCCCATGCTGCAGGTCCATTCAACATTATTCCACAACGCTCGTGCAGCAGACCGTTGATGGCAAGTCTTGGGAGGCCCCTGGCCGCTGACACCTCTTTTCGAGATGCCCATGGGACATGAGTGTGCATTAGATTCATCCCAAAGCAAATTCACCACTGAAGCTGCCAGTCATACATGGCATGTGGTACAAGCTCGGCATTGATTCGGATGCTTTGACTAATGCAGGTTCCCAGTGAAACTGTGGTGGGTGACGGGGCCAACTACACAGGCATGTTACGGCTCCTTGGTGCTGCAGATGCAGAATAGACTGGAGCTTGTGTTTTGCAGGCATGCAAAGACGAAGCGTGGAAGGGTATAGCTGTATCCAGCCAGCGCCTCATGATCGCCCGGCGCATGACCTTGATGTGCTGCCAGTTGTGTGTTGATGTAACAGTCAGCAAGTCGACTACTATAGGCAACCTGTAGGCAATTCAGTGGAAGTACTTTAGATTTAGCATGTTGCGGCGAGACAAGTTCCACGCAATTAGTTGTCAATACCCCCGACCAACTTCAAAACATGCCTCCCGAACCTGGACCTATAGATCCACACGGCACTCCAGACCACCAACCAAGAGCACCAGAGAAAAGGCAAAACAAAGAAGCAACTGTTCTGAATGGAATCGTGATCGTGAAGGACGTGATCGGAACTCTACTCGAACACGGTGACAACAGAGTGAACAAGAGAATTTGTTGTTAATATTCTTATGATTTTTTCTTTATTCTTATTATTGTAAATTCCATTCGTTGTTTTGTCACAGTGTGTGTGTGGGTGTGTGTGTGTGCGTCTGTGTCTGATAGGCCTCAGTTTAAGGCGTGACCCAGGCACTTAAGGCCTGAATGGTTCCTCAGCGCCATGGCAGCTTCTGTAAGAGGCGACAGCAGAATGTGCATCGCTTGCTCTGTTTGCTCTTCGAGGTGGGGATTGGTGAACACGCTTGCAGAGAACTACTCGCAGGCTGCAGCAGGGTTTAGGGTTTCACAATGTTTCGCAGCAAGCTCTGGACAAGGCGAAGCCAGGCCAAGGAAGCTCTTGTGCCACGATGGGGAACGAAGCGAAGAGATGGGTTGACTCGGGCAATTCGGCATCGGCAATCCTTCGACGTTTGCCAGGATAACGCAACGATCAAGTTCCGAAAACAGCTGTTGAAAACCTCCTGGAACATGCAGGGAAGAACACGGAACACAGCACTGCCCTCTGCTTGTGCTGGCAAAGCTACAGAACGTGCGCGACAGAGGAGTCGTCTTCGCTGTGCTGCATGTGCTGGTGGTACGTTCTTGTATCCAAACCTGTCAGAGGGGTGCTGCAAGCATGTGCGTGTCACATGTCTCTGCAAAGACAGGAAGACATCAATCTACAGGACCCATTCCTGCAAAGCCTAGCCGTTGTCCTAAGACTTGGTAGCTGGGCAGCCGTATCTCTCCTGGCCCTTCACCACGGTACTATGTGAGTTTTGACGCTGCTTCTTAGTTGAGCTGTGTGGGGCTAGCAGCCTGTGAGGCGACTTTCCCTGACTCCAACCTATCTGAAAACTTCTGCCGGGGCCTTGACGTGTCCATGTTCAGGGCCGAATATGGCCGACTGGACCCAGTGGAACCAATCGAAGCTGCCGGCTAGCCACGCTCATATGAAAGCTCAACTTGCAGCCCAAGGTCGAAACCCATACAACGCAAGCACCGCAACAGAAGAGACCAAGGCAGGAGAGTTTTAATCTGGGATGCTGAGGTCGCTTTTGTTGGCGGTCTCTTTCTTATGCTCTAGAGATGAAGCTAGTGCGGGCGTCGAGTCTGCGATCACAGAGCCAGGCCAGCACTATTTGGTGCTTCACATCAGACGATAAAGTTACATGGCAAGAGTGCCGCCCGATTGGCGTGATTCGGCCCGTATGCAAGAACGGAGTCCGAGCTGCACTGCGAGGAGGGGAGCTGGAGAGTAGCACCTGAGAGGAAGAAGAAGAAGAGGGCGAGAGAGCGAGAGAGAGGGAGAGAGAGAGTGTGTGTGTGAGTGTGACGCGTGCGCGTGAGAACGCTCTCTGAGGCTACGCGGTCGCTGATGAGGGCGTCCGCACCCTCTTAGAGCATCTGGGCAGCACCACAGCGAAGGGCGAAGGGGGTCTCAATTTTGTGCTGGGTCTTTCGTTTTTTGTTGGGGGGGGGGGGGGCTCATTTTGAGTACCTGGCTCATTTAGCTTTTTGGCTTGTGCTTCTGCTCGCACTGAGGTACGCGGCATATGCCTTATGGATCTTGGGTGTCCTCTATTTGCGCCTCTTCAAAGTTAGCCCGGCGCACTGTCAGACACAGTCAGTTGCACACTTGAGCCAAGGTTTCTCGTCCTTTGCTTTTGCAGCCGTATTCGGCTAGCAATCGCCGTGAATAAAGTTGCTGCGACCTTCGTGGCCATAGCCTCGGCGTCTGTGGCATCTCCTTGTGGGCGCAGCAGCTGCTTGCACGTGAGGCTCAGACGCCCCAGGTCATGCTGGTGCCCGTGATACAGGCATGTCGTTGGAGGGGCCCATCGCCATTGCTGCGTGGTGTTTCTGCACCCGTTAAAGCAATTCGCTCCTGTGCCCTGCAGTTTGTTTCTTGATTCCAACCAGCCGCAGGCTCTGGTGGCCGTCATGTGGATTGGCTTGTGGATTTTATGTTCCTCCTTCCTCTTGTCGCAAGTTCCGGACGACTATACACCAACAGAAGCTTGGACCATCACTGGCCTCTACAGCAGCAGCTGATGTTTTTTTACGGTTGTTGGCGTTGCTGCTGTTGCTGACGGTGGTGGCGACGGTGGTAGTGGCGGTGGTGGTCTGGTGGTGTTTCGCCCTTGCAAGGCATCAAGGCAAAGGCCAGGTCTTCCCTTTGGCTTGCCACTTCATGCCAGTGTGTCTTCCTTCTTGAGGATGCATATGCCACATATGCGGAGGCCGCAAAGATTTGATTGAACCGTTGCATGCGTCGACGTGGCTTCATGTTCTCGCACAAAGGCTTATGGTACAGCAGAAACGCCTGGCAGATGCACAGACAAATGGCCCACGGGCTTTACGTACAAGGCCGCTTGCTGGATGATGATGGATGATGGGGGGCAATGGGGTGCATTTGTTTGCTGCATCGGTTGTCAAGGACGACGACAACTGCGTCAATGTCAATGGGACGGCCCATTGCTGGAAGTGCTGCGGCAAAAGAGCGCGAAGAAGCGGTTAAAAAGCGGCCAAATCGTGTCTAAAAAGCAGCCAAAAAGCGGCTGAAGTTGAGATCACGAATCCCCGCATGTCAAGAGAAGCTGAGGTGTGGCCAGCCACGTTTTGCATTCGACTGGCGCTTTGCCTGCTCATTCTTCGTGTTTCTTTGGAATAACGCGGCTTGCGCTGCACGTTGTGGGCGGAGCCGTGTACATCAGTTTGCACTTGTTCCATTTCTTCTCTGAGAATCACGTGCGGGTGCATATGTGCAAAGTGATTTCCGTGTTTGTCGTCGCAACGACATCTCGTAGCATTGCCTTGCAGCATTGCGCACGCGGAGATCAGACTGCACAAGGCTTTGAACATCGCTTTCGGTCAGTTTATGATTGCTGGATCAGTGCCTGAATTGCATCTCTGACCTTTTGGCAAGGCAAAGTTCAAGTCATTGTAAGTCTTGCTCAGTCATGCATGTCGCATGTCGCATGTCGCTGGAGGTTGCGGCCTGGTTTTTCACCCCAAATCGCTTGAAAGGGAAACGAGGAGACTGCACGATTAGATGTGCGAAAGGAAGGGAGGGCAGAAGCGGAAGATGATGAAATATGTGTCATGCTCATTCAGGAGGTGCCCCCTCCCCCCCCTCCCCCACACTGAGCCCTGTGAATCCCTGTGAGGATCTGTGAAGAAATCTGCCTACTTTGCCTTCCGCTTCCACTTTGGATCGCTGGCATTTGGCTCCTTCATTATCGCCGTGGTCCAGTTCGTGAGGTACATGCTGTCCCTCACTTATTGAAGGATGGGCCGTACCCGTACCCCTCCCGCGAGTTCGCTCAGTCAGCATCTGCCGCTTGTTGTTTTGACTCCAAGGCTTTACCTTGAGAAGCAAGCGCAAGCACAAAAGAATCGAGCCACCTGACAACGTATAGAGTTTAGACCTTGGAGAGAATGGAGGGAATACAAGGCTTCAGATGCAACTTCGGCGATCGAGAGAGAAGGCGATAGAGAGAGAAGCTTGCTGACATGTTCACCTGGAGGCTAGAGGTGCAGTTCTAATTAATTAATATGCTGGGGAATGACCATCGTTCCGGATTGAGGTGTTTTCTTGACACAGTGGCAGCTCTCTGTTCTAGCTACGTTAGAATGCTCATCAAAGCCCTTGCGGAGTGCAGAGAAAGCTTTCGCAACCTGGGTTTGGGTCTGGACAGGAAGTCAGGCCTTTCTCGTCTTGTCGCGGCAGTGACAGGGTACGACGTCTGGGCTTCTCTGTTGTGGGTTCTCGGCGCTGATGACATCGAGGGCTGGTCTGGGCACGCATGTCATTGCAACGAAGCTGGCCCATATGTTTGCATTGCGGGCAGGTGAGCCCGACCGCGCTACTAAGGTGATGGCCTTGATTCTGCGGGTATTGCGGTGCTGCATGTGGTGCTTGGAGAATTTTCTGAAGTTCTTGAACAAGACGCTAGTCCGACAAAAAGCTTGGCACCGTAAGGTGGCGTTTCGCACGGTTGGAACAGCATGGCGGTCTGCATGTGCTTCCTGCACGCTGAGAAACGCATACATTCAGATAGCCATTCGCGGAACGAACTTCTGCACGGCAGCGAAAGAGGTGGGAGTCCGGTTAGCACCTCCGTGACTCTGCATTTCTACATGCCATTTGTCCTTGCAGGCTTTCATGCTGATCGTAGCAAATGTCCTGCGATTTGGGGCTGTTGCCCTTTTGGGTACGGTCATCAACTTCATTGGGCCACTGAGCTTGCAGATTTGCAGGGATGGCCTGCGCTGCGCAACTTTTTGCAATCTGCTAACTGGCCACATCTTCTCACATTGTGACGCCTGCAGTCCTGAGGTACATCTTCATCATCGCCGCCACAGTGTCCAGACATGTTCAGACTTTCAAGAATGGCAATTATCTCCATTGCGTCTTGTTGCACCACGACCGGGGGGGGGGGGGGGGGGGGGGTGGACTGCATGTACACGTACATTTTGCGATGAGGTTGCGGTGGGATATTTGCAGCTAACGGCTATGCATCCAAATGCATCTCCGGTGGTACCAGTCGCAACTTGCCGGCTTCAGGCTGCTTCAGGTTGCATATGTCGCCTATTTCCAGACATTACATTGGTCGCCTTCTTCGCATCGCATCCCTTAGCAGCCGACAGTAGGAATGATGTTGGAAAGAACTGCTCGACTGCGGAGGCTATGTACGTGGCTTGCGGCTACGTCGTTGCCAGGCTCTGTATGAATGTCTTCGAGCTTGCCGTGGACACGATGCTACAGTAGCCTATCCACAATGTGGTTGTTTCGCGCTGATTACTGTGCACACACACACACGTATGCAGCGGTTTGATTTCAATTCCAGGTGCTTCTTGGTTTGCGAGCAGGAAAAAGACAAGATCGGCAGCTGAGCTGAGTCTAGCGGTCTAGCGGTCTAGCGGTGGACATTGCAAAGATTGCAAAGTCAGAGAGGTGCCAAAAGTACCCATATAAAGTACCCTGAGGTGATTCTGATTTTGTTCCGAGTCAGATGCGCGGGTGGCTGGCAGGGAAGGCAGACGAGACTCCCAGCATTGACAAGGAGTGAGCTGCTGAGCAGCTGCCGTGGACGTGAAGAAGGCATGTGCAGGATAATGTGCAGGCGTAAGGCTTGGCTTGCAATGCCCAAAGGGCCTTTCCAGCTGGCTTACGCGGAGTGGTGCTGTGCGCACGCGAGCACCACAAAAAGTTTGCCAAAGGTTCCTGTGAGTTGCACAGGAACGTAGGAAAATGGAACAGAGCTCAGATTCCACAAAATACGAAGCACCCCAGCCTTGACGCCAAAGCATGTTCGATCCTGACACGATCATACAATGTCATACGTGCGTTTACACCAATGTTTTCCAAGAGTAACTTGTGGAAGCTGTGCGCTGGAAATTCAGCTCGGCTGAAGGCTACTTGCATTTGCACCATTTGCTTGCAGTCATTTATGTATCCTTCCGCTTGGGCTGCTGACGTCCTCAAAGAGGACCACCGGGTGGTTCTCGTGGTGGGCAGGGCTGCCGGGTGCAGCTTTTTCAGGGAACCGTCACGGCAGTTCAGATGCTCTCAGGGGACTTTGGAGATTCCAATGTCACGCAAAAGATGGCAGTGCAAGTAACGAAGAGTCATTCTCCAAGCCATCAAGCCAGAGCCGAGCGGGAGTGGCAAGTGGCAAGCAGTCAATCTGGATTCTGGGTTCTTACAGTACGGACTCTTGATATGGGCGCTTCATGATGTGGTCATGTCGACCGCTGCAGCCTTTTTGCCGGAATTCCAGGCCAGTGCGAACCAGCTGCGTTGGAGGCACCGGTTGCTTGCACTGTCTTGTGTCCTTTTTTGTCGAAGAGTCTACGAAGTGCCTGCCGCGAGTTGTTATCTCCTCTAACTGAACTCTTGTACGCAATTTCAACATGCCCCATGCTCTCGGCCACACTTCGTGCATAGAGTCCCCGCTTGTAAGCCTCTCTCCATTTGAGTCTGCTATGCAGTTTGGACACCTCTTTCAGGATTCAAGACTGATATATATATATATATATATGGACGATACGCGGTGTTTGTTTTCGTTTGTTCTTTTGCCTAGCGGTGCATGCCCGGACAAAGGTTGGCAAAGTATTTGTTTTTCAAACTACTTCGCCTGTGCGTTTGGCTCAGCAACCCATACAACTTCCACGTTCCACCCGCCTGGACGACAACCAAGCAGAAGCTGACAGGCCCTGCCAGCAAACGCATGCACATGAAGGTCATCCTGTAGAAGTCTTCTTTGCCCATCTGACCGACACGGCGCCCCACTTCTTGCCAGATCTTTGCGTTTATGGCTTCTTGGTGCAAGCAGAGGGATGGGGAACGGAGGAGCAGCCTTCTCAACCTGCAGAGTAGGTTCACCTGTGGACAGCAATACCTCTAGAATGCCACCCCAGAAAAGCATGGGGATGAGAAGCAGTTCCGAGGCATGCCATGTGTGCAACAACTTAAACACGGTATTAGTCATGCATGCAATGTGCCGTGCATATCCGTGCATGTTTCAGTGTGAATGCTAGTGTAAGTAGTCACTACGTGCCAATCTCTCGCTGCGGCACCGCTTGCGGCACCGCTTGCAGCACTGCAGGTATCTTCCCTGGCCGTCGCCAGTACGGCTGCTAGCATTATCCTCTCCACACACTTCTGCTGGATCCTGCGAAAGAGGGGATCCTCCGATTACACCGATGCCATAAACTTTCTTGTACAAACTCGCCGCTTGGCTTTCAAAGTCTGATTCCAGGATGCTGTACCTGGCAAAGCTCTGGCCGCAAGCCTTGCTTCAGGAGATCTTGCTACGAAGCCAGCACATCTATTTGCTCAAAAGGCCAGCAAACTTACCTGTATTTATGTCTTCCAAGAGGCATGCAGGTCAGTTGATTCAGGCGCACTCGTCAAAGTTGTGGAGGGACACGGATCCGAAATGTGTAAGGAATTGCCGCATGCGGATGTCCAGGTGGTGCATGAGATTTTGGATAGGTGTGGAGAGGCGATGTTGCAATGTGCAGGCCCGCCTCCGGCTTTTCAGCATCGTGAGCAAGATTTGCATCCAGCCAGGCTCTCAGGCTGGGACATCAACACATGTGAAAGAGTGCAGCGTAGCCAAGGTCAACCCTGGCGTGTGGAATCTTGATGTCAACGCTGGCGATCAACATCTGTGGCGTGGGTGAGTTGCAGCTATTAATCTTGCTTTCCAGCTGCAGATAGCTACAGTTTTTTTGCTCTGTAGACCTTTGTAGTGGGTCCAGTGCTCGTGATCTGCTTGTGGAACTGGACATCGAGTGGACAGCTCAGGATTGTCATGTACGCTGGTTGCTTGGTGGTTTCGTCCGAGTATATCTCGCTGACGTGCCGGTGCTGAGTTGAGCCTTTACATGCACATGCCTGTACTTTGCGAGCTCGCGGACTAGGACCTCGTCCCTGAATGTTTGCAGGCCAGGGACTTGCGATATCGTGGCAGCCGTGGCACATCTCCTGCTCTTGATCTTGGTGCAATGCCCGGCTACTGATGCTCAGCGTGATTTCAGCACGGTACACACTACTGAAGCTTGCGGTCATGAACCATTGCAGTCTCAGTCGCATGGGCAATTCTGTTCTTCGATTGCAGTGCAGACCTCGCGAAATGTTGCCGCAACTTAAGGACGCTGATGTTGTGGTGGGAGGTGTTCGTGCACTGCTTCGAGCGCTTTGTGGTCTTTTGTTTTTAGATGGCAGAAAAACCATGTTGGCCAACGTAGCCGCGAACTCAGTGCGACCCCGGCCCGAAACTGCACACTGGGTCCGTGCTACACACTGAGGCCATCAGTTTTGTCTGCACGGTCATCAAGGCCTTCCCAGCACTGCCTGTACGGCACGATGTAGCGTCGCATGATCCGTGCTGTACTGTAGCAAAGCATGTGCAGCACTTTGGTTAGCATGCAGTCTTAGCTACAGCCTGCTGGGGGCTCGGCAACTTTTCCTGCAGGCTCTCTCAACCAGCGGCTGTGCATGCAGCATCTTCGCCTCCGTATGCTCAGAGGTTTTATGCATTGCGCAGGTGATGTTTGTGCTCATAGTAGCGCCTCAGATGTACGAGTTCGGGTGCTCACTGTCAATCAGTGAATGTGCAATCTGTGCACTACCTAGGTGCAAAAGCTGTTAGAGGAAAACGCCGCAATTCGTCTCGAGAGCGTGGAAGTGGCGGGCAAGTCGCAGGCCCACTTGAAACAGCCCCACAGACTCCCACAGATTCAGACATGACTTTGCCACATGACTTCGTGACTCGCCCTCGGCAGGCGCGAAAGAATCTATTGTCAGTTCTTGTGGATGCAGATATTATGCTGGACTCAAGCTTATGTGTCTGTCGCGTGAGAGCAGTTAGACCCGAATGCTTTTTACTTGTGCACCTGCTCATCTTGACATGGTTGGATGGTGTTGCGACCAGCGGTGCTTTTTCGTTTCTACCCAAGGCCAGCCAAGCAATAAGGCTGAGCATTTTTTCGCGCCCGAGTTGAGTGCAGATCAGAATTCTGTAGCAGGCGCAGCTTGCTGGATGTTCCCGAAATGTTCAACCAACGGACCCATCTCGCTCTTTAAATGCGCGAGGACTGAAGATCTACCAGTTCGTGGCAGATGCTGATCAAACCAAACTCAAAGAGTTTCTAAAGCTGCTCGGCACAAGAGGTACGGACACACGGCTTCGCACCGCCTGGGTTCTGGCCTGCACCGGCTTTTAGTGCCAGCGGCTTAATGATTGCGTTTTGTGGCCGAGTCGCGCAACCATCAACAATGTCAACGATGGAGCAGACGTTCTCAGCGAAAGTTCCATCTCTCTTCAAGCTGGAGGAAGTCCCGTCTTGTGTGCAGAGACTTCAGCCAACACACGGTCAGAGAATGCTCTCAGACGCTTCAATTGTTTCGGAAAGGAAGCCCGGCATCCTCATTATCAATTCAGCTGGGTGTCCTGCTTGCAGAAGTTGTCGGCCACATCGTGCTCCTTGCAGCACATGACTTAACTAATTACTTTCAGCCCGCGTTTGAGGCAAATCTGGTCGCGTGGTTCAGATCTTCCACGCAAGCGTTCCAGCTGTGGACAAAGCAACGAATTCACAGCCTCGACATCTGATTGGAATCCAAGCAACTTGGCTTCAAAACTTGTCCGGCTCATGAGAGGCGAGTGTCGCACCAACAAATGTTATCGCAACTCGTTGAATGCTAGCCAGTGAGAGTCCTGTTTCTGTACTACTTTTAGTAGCGCAGAGTTCTTTCTTAGCCTCTGCTGCAAAGTTCTAGCCACAATGCGCGTCGACTGCAAGACCATTGTCAGGAGTCTTTCAACATGGCGCGGCATGATGTTCGTGAAGTCCTCGCTCCAGATTTACCGATGGATCCCAGTAGTGATGCCGAGCTGATGCTGCCTGCTTGCAGAGAGGGGTGTATGGGAGGGGGGCGTAAGGGGCTCCTTTTCAATTATGAATTATGAAGGCTTACTAAGGGAGGGCCTTTTTGGGCTTATTAGTATTAAGTAAGGCTTGATGCTTACACCCCCCTCATGGTTCCTTATGAGAAGATGCCACCAGTGGCAAGCAGGGAGGGGCCGGATGAGAGCCGAGGTACCTTTCAACTCAAAACTTAGCAGCCCGGCTGACTTTGAGCATGGAACCCTGGCAACCCGGTAGCGTTGCGTACGTGTGGCTGGATCAAGTACGGAACTGACTTCCACAACCAAGGCTGCACAGCAAGAAAGCAGCTTGCTTGCGTGACAGGCGGTTTGTGCGCATGGCCCTGCATGCCGGAGCAGTTGCTATGAGCAGCTGCGAAGTGCCAAGGCTTCGAAACGCGCCAGAAGCATCCTCCCAGTACTGGATCCAGGGGTTCGAGAGAATCGAAGGAGTCCGCATCCAAGAAATCGGCGAGCTCCTTGTCTTGCGATGAGCTTGCGCCTTGCATTGCGCGTCCACACTCATGGAACGGCGGGCGCAGCATCACTCGACCAAGTCTTTGCTCAGGTTCAGCGTCGTCCTTGCGCTCCTCCGTGGCTGGACTCCCCGAGGTTGGCTCCATTTCTTTTATCTTCAACGGCTACTCCGGAGGCTGGAGATCCGGAAGCCTTAGGTGTATCCTCGCAGTGCATCCTTGCCGTTCCCTGCACGATGCCAAGAGAATGGGTGGAGATACCGATTCGTAACTTTTCAGGCTTGGACATCGTGGAGGTCACCCTGCGCTTCGACACATTGCGCGGCAAGAAAGATGAGCCAACCAGGGTCCCCGAAATGAAGTCGCTTTGTGTGCACCTAGGAGCTTTTTTCATCCGGTTTGGATAGCCTTGGACAGTAATGGGATGCTGGGCGAGAGAAGAACTCGAAACATCTGAGGCATTGGATTCGCAGCAGGTGCTGGGACGACTTCAGGAACTGGGTCCAGATGGAAACACAACGCTGCTGTGCCGGTGCAGCTGTGGACCAAGCGCCATGGAATTTGGACTTCTTGTACAAGATGTGTGCAGTCTGTGTGCAACAAAGTACATGAAGACACGACGGACCCAACATGCCCTTGCAGTGGGCGCTAAGATATGAGGTGCGATCCTTTGAGGGGCCGCTGGAATTTTACTACCCTGGCCAACCGGACATGACCTTGGTGTCTGGCAGTGTCAATGTGGTACGCACTTCGGCAATGTCAATAATCTTCGCGTGTTCCTGGGAATTGATTTGTCGCCTTGCAGACATGCCGGGTGTTCAGCATTAGGCAACATAGTCTTGGGTCTATTTTCGCCCGCTTCCGGACATGGTGCCGAAAAGTCTAGCATCTGACCTATTTCTAGTACCAGTGTCGAATCGCAGATCCATCTTGTCCTCTGGCATCTGAAACTAGGTTTGGCCGTAGATGCTGCTTTCAAGACATCTGCAAGTGAGAAATGAACCTTGCCCCAGTCGTGCCCGTTCGCTAAGCCATGCTAAGCTCGCCTCAACTCCGCATTGATCTCCAGGCATTCAGAGTGACGGGGACAGCGAGCCAGATGAGGACGAGGAAGGGGAAGAGGAGGAACCAG